CCTCATAAGTTCTCATGGGCCCGAACCAATCCTATGACTAGTTTTTGAGATAGAGGTAGTTTAATATCGAAGAGTTAGGTCATTGCTAAAATATTCAGGTATTATATTCTAAATATAAGCGTCCAAAATCACAACCAATTTCAGAGAGTATAAATGGTGAATATTCATATAAGAGATGGACTAGCTCCCACACTGTTCAAGGTGGCGAAATATTTGCTGGAAAATTTGATTTTCCTTGAGGTCATTTTGATTTTTATTTGTTTGAGTGTTTTGTGATTGTTCCATCCATCATATATTGTCTTATTTAGGCAGAATGGGAATTTGTTCAACGTTTTCCGTGTTACTGACTCGACTGAGTATAATTTGTTTTCCAAGTTTTTTCTGTAGTTGAGCTAAACTGAGTTTGAATGGAGCGCTGTGAAGAAAGTTCTTTGGAGTTACTTTGGATAATTCCTCCTCCGAATGATTATCCTGGTTCTGGATCAGTGTTGAGCGATTAAGAAGTCAATAGTTACTTAAGATTCACCTGACACTAGGTGAGCACCTGTATTTATAATATCAATGCAAAGCTGAATAAATTACCTACTCAGGAAATAAAGATGCTCGAAATTACCGCATTAAATTGTAACTAATTGAATGACAAATAAAGCGGGTTTTTATAAATTTGGGTTAATTTGGTACAGATTGCAGGTTGGTTCAACACTTCGACCCAGAAATCATGTTGTCGGGTTGATAATAAAACAGCTGCAGGTTTTTATTTTTAGTTTTTATTTTATTTCCAACGAAAATACTACAGAAATCACACACATGCTTGTACTACATTACATAACTGATTTAAAAAAGATCATTAGTGCGGTTTTGGGGAGAAAGAGAGAGAAAAAAAAGTGTGTCAGAATTTCAATTTAGGCATGCATGAAGATTTTTGAACGCCCAGATGATATCAGAGTGCATTGACCACATAAATAGAATAAATACCTATATGATAGGATGAAATATAGGTATGCAAATATTCTTTAATAGATAAAGGCCTGTCACCTGGAATGATTATCGATATAAAACACGAGACCGTTCCTTACAAAGAAATAAAGAGGAAGCTGAGATCAGTAATTAATGAGACCATAGGTATTTAGGATATAAAAGTATAGAAATTTATATCAAATTTTAAAAACCTATATTTCCCCTATCCAAAATAGAAAACTAAGTCTCATCAGAGATTAATATCACTTCTGGTGTTTTGCAGGGTGGGTATTTGTCCCGTCACCTTTTCATTATTTTCTGGAACGATATTAAAAATGTTTTATTGTATAGAATCGAACTTGATAGGGTTTACGTCATTAGGGAACCCTATCATGGGTAGGTACCAGTGCATAAAGGAGTCGAAGAAAGTGAAATGGAGGACCAATTTAACTTGCAAGACAGGCAGCTGCAACATCATTCCAGAACCATTCTTTGGTATTTGGAAAAGCCATATATATTATAGAGGAAATTCAGAATTGGATAAAACTTCAACAAGGTCCCAGTGCGGAGAGGTCCACAACCTAAATATCCCCAACCATCACAATCTACAATCTACGTTAGTAGAGATTTTGGGTTTTTTTTCTAGATATGGAATTGCATTTTCCGAACATATTGAAAGAGTATCCAATAAAGCCATGCGAATATTGAGATTTGTAATGCGCAACTTAAGATATTTCAATGACATTTACACCTTAAAGGTCCTGTTTGGTCTCCCTTTTATGAAAAATATGATTTTCAATTGGAGAGGGTGCATTGAAAACTCTTGTAGCTTGTTGCGTTCAAAATAAATATTAGTTATGACTCTATTGATTATAATGTGAGGAAAACCACCCATTTAAAATATTATTTCTTAAAATTTTAACTTTAAAAAAAAAAACGTTAACTGAATAAAAATAAATGTTGCAACCATGTATGCGCCTTCAAGTTTAGGATTGAACGCGCGCCACAGAAAACGAAGGTACCAAAACCGAAGAGGATACGCAACTAGACTACAGAACGAGCTGGACTGGTCCCTTAAAATGTGTCTGTAATTATTCATTATCAGTGTTACCAGGTTGCTTTCATAAAGAGTAACAGGTTCGTCTTAAAAATGGTGATAGATTTTAAAAAATGGTAATAGATTTTTTTACAGCTGGCGCCACATAATGGAGTTCATGTAACTTTTTTTTTTTTTATCATGAATAAATATCTAATATTTGAGATTAACTTTTAATAATATTGTTATTCTTCTATAAAAAATAAAACTCGTGATTCGTGAAAAAAAAATAGAGCATAGCTTAAAATTACATTTTTACATATAAAAATGTCATTTTAGGCTACAGTTAATGTTAAACCTGCCATATGGTCGGTGCAAACCAAGGATGATACACACCAAAGATGATACACACTACTACTGCAGGATGGCCTATCCTTATAAGACCTGTGTGTAACAAATCCCCTCCGCCAAATTACCAGCTGTGACGTAGGCAACATGTTATTTCTTGCCTTGACGTCATATCTTGACGTAGGCTGTTTAAACAGCTGACGACTTAGTTATGACGTCGGAAATGGTAACACACCAATATGGCGGCGATTACCAAAAACGAGGCCAATAAGCACTCCTTAGAATATTTATTCTCCTTGGATACACACTACTGTGTACTAGTACAGGGTAACCTGCCTATTCTCATAAGGCCTGTGTCCTGTGTGGAAAATCCTCATTTTTTCTCGAAAGAAGTAATGACGTCATTTTTCAGAAGGTTCAAAACAGATTTGAAAAACATTTTGAACCGCTGGGGTCGAGAAAAAATACTTTTAGTTATGACGTCGGAAATGGTGACTCACCAATATGGCGGCAATTACCAAAAACGAGGCTGATAAGCAATCCTGTAGGTATGTGTTATCCTTGGATTTGGACAGGCCCTACGATTCTCACCTTAAAACTATATAAATGAACTTAGAACTTCTTTTGAGATATAAAAAATAAATATCTTTTATTATTCGAGCAGAAAATGCATAACAAAACATATAAAAAAAGGTAATAGAATTTTTAAAAAGGTAATGAACTCCTCTAAAAAGTAACAGATCTGTTACAATTGTAATAGACTGACAACACTGTTCATTATTCAATTTTCATTTCTATTTGGCATTAAAATTGATTGTTCCAATCCAATTTGTTATTAGTGTATGTGTAAGGAGCGTTCACAGGTTAGTGGATTAAATGTTATTTTGTTTTTGAGAGTTCAATTTATGCAAGTTCCTATTATTTTCTTCATTTTTATGTATTTTTTGTTTGTTTATAACATTTTTTATAACATGTGCATTGTTCATGTATTCAACAAAAATCGTTCCATACTGTAAACAACACAGATAAAGAAGTAAATTAGAACCTAAAAAATTATGTGCTGTCTTTTTGTGCTGAGATTTTGATTTTGTGGATTTAGAGCGTGCATTAGGGCCTTGTTGAATTTACTAACATTTTCCTACCCTGACGAGAAAATATCCTAGCAAATTGAAATAATCAATCTAGAGATATTGGCTTAAAAACAACTACATATAGCTGAGTAGCTTCCCGTATGGGACTTCAGTACCTGCTGGGAAACTGGCTAATTAACAAAAAAAAACTCTTCAGTATTGAATATAGATAGTTTTGATTGAATGTAGTGTGTGTAATTGAAATTTTAGCACAAAGACAAAGGTGGCACCTAATTTAAACTTTTATTGACTTAAATTATTGAATTATTGACTCACAATTATTATTAAAATGACACAGTATGTTTCGATTTTTGAGGAATGTTAGATCGAGGGTTTCTCTGCCGTGCTCTTTCGCCTCGTTAGTTCCAGGATGAGAACGGTACGATTTACTTCAATAATAATGTAGACGTTTCACAAATTTCTCGTTTCTTTTACATATCACAGTTTCCCTTAAATTTCCCAAATATTTGCTATGTTGGGCGCACGTCCAGACAGTAAAATTGAGTAAGTTTCCACAACGTAGGTCCTATTTATTTTTCATTTCATTTTTCAGAAAATTTGTTGTTTAAAAGGTAATAAAAAAAAACTCATCGTTCAATCTTACTGAACGAATCCGGATATGTTATACTACAGATGATATTTTGAAACTCTTGAACATGCGATCTCTAACCCAAAGGAGAAATCATCAGGACATGTGTATTCGGTTTAAAAGGGCGAATAGGATGATCCAGTCAACTTAGCTTTAATTTTTGATGTAGATTTTTTCAATAGTGGATTGGAAACTTTTAGGATTCAAGTTAAATCTGTCTGGTTAATTGTTTTATTATTACCTACTTTTTATTGTGTGTAGACACTGACATAACTAATAACACATAGTAGATAGTAGATATGAGCAAAGCTTATGAGTGATAGAAAATACTTTGAAAAATCGAAAGAACCAAATGACCATTTAGGTATTTCATCAAATGACAAGTTTGCGACTAAAGACCAAAATATGCTCCAAATTTGACAGGCGAGATTTAAACGGTTTTTGAAAACAGTGTAGCTACGTTTAACCTACAAAAAATTCAACTCAAGAATTTGACTACCTATATACTATACAAATAATTATTCTAGTATATGTAGGTTCCTATCCGACAATATTGCACTCTCTGATACGCTTCTTAGGTAGAAGATATAGCAGAATTAGTAGATCAAATAAGAAAATAAATAACCATATACCTATCACAGTTAATTTTGTAAACGTTGAGCTTATCGCAGTATAGTGCTATCAACCGTTAAAAAAATCTAAATGTAGGTGAGAGTTAATTGATATTTGATACTTATCGAAAATTATTGGACTAGTTATCAAATTCAAACTATTAAATAGGTACTTAATGGTGCTTTGACTTATTATATATAGGATGATTTTGTAAATTTTTTAAACTAGATAAGGTTCATTGGATTGTTGCAAATGAAAATCTTTTGGAAACTCAGAAAATCACTTATTTGTGTTCATCGACAGAGAAGAATGTTTTAATGAAGGACTTAAAAACGATAAAAATAAGACTAGCTTCAAAAAATCTCATCCTGAAGATATTTTAACCTTTTTCATTATGGTTATCCTTATTAGGATGTTAACTTCATTAACAATGAGAGTTTCCTTTATTTATGACGGAATTTAGTCCGTGGAGTGACCTCGGTTAAAATTACAACTAAATTCAATAACTTATGGTTCTGAAACTCTCTCAGCTGTTCAAAGATAACCATAACATCGACCAAATCGCCTTTGAATTTGATATTCTAATATATATGTACGTAGGTATACCAAGAAAATCTTTAATTTGTAAACTGGAACAGTAACGCAGAAGGTGCTCTCTGTGGTATCAACGAGGTGATACCATTCTTATCATTGACCACCCAATACTGTCTACCATTAATTACTTGCTTCTTGCATCTGGATCCAGCTGGAACCACCGGCTTATTAAACAACGTATGATACGATGGCGGAGGCGTTACAAATTGCTTATTACTAAAAGTGTTATTATAATTATTAGTGAAAACAATTTGACGATAAGTTGTTTCGTGAGTATTATTATTGTTAAGTTGCTTCTTGCAACACCGATGAACTTTGATGAAATGTAGAATTAATTCGATGGTGAAAACAATAGTGGATATTATCAAACCTCCACCCACTATCATGTATGTCATTAAAAGGTCTGTGTTACGTAGGCGACGTTCTTTGCTGCGAAGATTCAATGGACAAATGACGGTGTCTGGTAGGAATTCTCTTTGTTTAAATTCGGTGATACCTGATTCACTCAAATATTGAAATCTAAAACGACACTCAAAATTACTAGAAATAAAGTTTACTAAAAAAAAAATTCTCACGTGGAATCGAATAGCTCTTTGTATTTGAAATCCGGTCTAAAAGCAAAGGCCCTAGAATAAATGACCACAGGAAACGTTGTAATAACATAAGTGCAACGTTTGGATTCTTCAATATTGGCTTTAGTTTTCATTTTGTAGTCTTCGTACATGATCATTTCTAAAATTGTTTTTTCCCTTATGTACATGGTTTTCTTTTTAGTTACAAAGTCGTTTAGGATTGTTTCATCATCGGCGTCAACCTATAAACAAATTAATTGAAGATTATTGGTCTAGCAAGTTGCAGATTTCCACAAGATTTCTAACCCAAGTGGTCCAATCGATTGTTAATCTTTGTACCCTACAATTAACAGAACAATAAGATCGTTGCTGGTCAGTCATCTTATTAGTTTAACAGTTTTACTTAGTCAGGGCATTCAAAAACTCCTTTATAGATTTTAGGGAAAAGTTGGGAAAAATATTGAGTCAGGGGCAAAGTGGGGAGCCATATCTGCTTGGCTATAAAAGTTTTTCAATAATCTTGCCCAATACGACCCAATTTCAGGGTTCGTTCTCCTACAAAACAGCAAAACTTAATAGGTACTTAATTAATTACTAAGTAAAACCAATTAAAGACTAATTAACGTCACCTGTTCGAAAAAATTCACTTGATTTTATTTATTGTTATCATATTATTAATTAATTATCATTATATTATAATAATTTAAATATTGTTGATATGACCAGCTAATTTGTAAGCCTTGTGTGTTTAGTATTAGCTAATCATCTTACTCTTGCTAGGGTCAAACTAGTGTGGAACAGAGGCGCCGACTTTTGAAAATCCTCATGGGTGCAGAATACTTTTATACATTTGTTTATAGGGGGAGGGTGAAGCTCGCCGCAGGCGCCACCGGAGGCGAAAAATGCAAAAAAAAAATTCTACGAGCGTGCGAGAAGTGCCTTTTTTTGCACGCATTTAGGCACTAGTGCGGAAAAGTAAAATAATTATGCAATGTTAAGTCACCTTGGTACTTTCATGTCCTGAAATACGTGCGAAAAAGTACTTCTTCGCACGGTCGTAAAAAAATAACGTTCCCTAATCATGCGGAAAATCTCTTTTCCACATTTAATTGCTACGCGCATGCCCTAACTGACGTTTTGTTTCATTTTAGCCGCCTCTGTCAACTGTCAGACTGTCACTGTCAACCAATGAACTATTATTATAAAAGTTCCGATATATCGAAAAAATTATTAGGTATATCGATATTTTTTTCGATATATCGAATGTATAATGTCGATTAAAATATATCGATATAGTTTATTATTATTATTATTATTGATATTTTTTGGGTTTGGTAAATGGCTTTGCACATAGTGCATACAGCCACTACAATTTACTTACCTTGCGTTCGGTATTTTGCTCAAAGAGCAGAGCGTGCTGAGCGGAACCGTAATCACGTGACCAGTGAGCGAACAAACCAGTTGAACGCTGTATAAAAGTGCCAGAAATTTTAATAAACGAACGCGAATGAGGCTGCACCGAGTACACTTTTTAAATAAACGAACGGTAAAGTCAAGCTCGGAGAACTCGGACCAAAATAACGAACGCACGGTTAATATAATATTTATGTAAACTATGATGTATGTATAATTATGTGTTACAAATAAAAAATATTAGGCAATCTCATGACCTGTCAAACGAAATTCAATATGGAAGTTCAGGTCAGACACCGTGTTGAAATCAATGAAAAATTATTATTTTGTCACATTCTGGACATTTAGGTTTGACATTGGCATTGTCATATTGTCATGTTTGACATCTACAACAATAAGGGCCCTGAATAAAAATGCTTTTTTTTATGAACGTCACCACAATTTGACCTGAACGGCCATATTGGAATAGATTGTCTAAGGCCGCTATTTCAATGTCACCTTAAGGCACAGAATAGCCTTAAGTCATCCTTAATACAAGTTTCACCGTATATCAATGTTCCCCTATGACCCCTATTTAAGGGTGGATCTCAAACCATTTGAATGAACTGATTTCAAGTTCACCTTAACGTTAAGGGTACTTTAGGTAAGTCTTGATTTTAAGTAGGGATGTCAATTTTTTTCAAAACACCGGTTTTTTCATTAACCGGTTAATTTACTAACAGTTATAACTGCCCGGTTATAACTGATATAAAACACCGGTTATTCCGGTTAACTGGTTGCTCGGTTATTTTGCCGAATAATATTAGAATAATTGCATAATTTACATTATAATGTAGGTAACATAACTTAAACAACAACATAATCTTAATGGTAAAAAAAATCGGAAACTGTTACATGTTAAAAAGCATCAAAGAATACTTAAACTTTTCTAAACTGGTTATTTCTCTTCTTTCATTTTTAACATGTACAGTTGCGACCATTGGAATTGGCACAAATTTTCGAACGCACCTTGTAATGCATCAAAATTTGACTTTTTTTAACAGGCCGTTAATGCCAAAATTGTATCAGTTTTAGGGCGGGTATTATAAAACTACTTTGAGAGTTAACTTAAAGTTAACTTCTGAAAATACATGTTAGAGTGGGTATTATAAAACTGCTTTAACAGTTAACTTGAAGTTACCGCAACTATGTCTTTTTTTATACCTACATGTACATGTCTTTTTTCAATACCGTTCATTAGAGAAAGATGGAAATCAACCAGCTGCTGAACGGATTAACCGAAACTGAAATACTAGAGATGGGCACTATCGGTTAAAAAGACTGTTGTCGCTTATTCAATATATTTTAAAGTTATGGAAACAAGAGAAAAGTCTACGTGTTTATTTTTTCACTTTCACCGGTTATTAGGTATAAAACCCGGTTATTCGGTTATAACTGGAGGCAAAAAACTGGTATTAACCGGTTAACCGAAGAGAAAACAACGGTTTTTCGGTTTTAACTACCGGTTATTGACATCCCTAATTTTAAGGTAACATTGAAATACTGGCCCTAAGGGCCGATACTTTTGCTCTCGATTAACGAATTTAATACGTCGTCAAGTTTTGCACAGAGATATGTGAGGGAAATAGAATGCGCTTAGACGACTGCGCATCCGATTTTATGGTAACGCATAGGGTGCCGCCATTTTTATCACTTTTCACTTATGCCGTATCCGATTAATAGATCTAGTGCAGTTTTCTTTATTTCTGTCTTTTTCTCCTACAGGTTGATGAAAAACGATGAGAATACACTCAGTGCGCATTAAATCTACCAATCGGAAACGCCATTAGTCTTTACGTTGACAACTTCAATTTGAAAAATTTTTCACAACATAACCTTACTTTTGGTCGGTTACGGATTGTTGTTTTTGGCGATTTTCCTGCTTTTTCTGAGAGATTTTTATCAGAATGGTATTTTAAAATATTTCTTTTTGTTATTTCTGCTTATTTTTGGAGTTATGAGTTGTTCATGATCTATTTTTCCAACACTTAATTTGACAAGTGATAAAAATCGCGGTCCTTCAAATTCGGCCAGTTGCGCAGGATGGACCCTTATTCTATTTTAACCAACAACTCTCCCATATCTCTGGTTTTGCATGAGCCAAGGTCTATAATAGCGATCTCCATTTGTCGAACCAGTGTGAAAAAAATGTATCCATATCCTTACATGTTACATGCTTTTAGAAAAAGATGGGGATACACTCAGTGCGCACTGATTGACAAATGGAAATCGCCATAAGTATGATGTGGTTAGAGCACAGCCTTTGAATATAAAACTACAGGAAGGAGCATAACTTCGAATCTGCGCGACCAAAATATGTGGAGGTTGCATATTGCCGACTAGTATTTCCGGTTTGGCAGTAGCGTATATTTATTTAAATATGATTGTCAATATTATGACTCACTCTTTTCTCACTAATTCCAGTACTTATCATCACTTAAAACCGCTAAAATCCATTAAACATCCACTTAAATGAGGACACAGGGAACCACCAAAACAAATGATGAGTCCAAACTTGGAGGCTCAAAATGGCGGCTTCCGTCGCTTTTTTGTTTGCAGTGACAGATAGACAACGCTCCTTCCTGTAGTTTTATATTCAAAGAGCACAGCACATTCAAACCCCTGATTATTTTTAACGGCTGTCAAGGGTCACTCACTTCACGCCATAGGGTCTATCTAGGTGACTTTATTTACACAAACAGGGGTTATTGACCAGGTAAAAAGGACAACATAAGGATCAGTACCAAAGGCTAACAAGTCCCTAAAGCTTTCTCACACACATAATATTTTGATTTCTACAAAACATCGATATCATTACCATCCCTACCCACGCGCAAAGCTAAATTATATGGCATACGGCCACTACACGGCGCAAGCGCCAGACTTCCCATTGTGGGCCGCGGCCCGGCTTCCCGATTATTATCACAAAGAATAGAGATAGAGAATAGCAACATAAAGTAATAGAGCATAGAACTGACCTCAAATAACGGAAGGACAGATGGACAGAATACCACACACACACCACTTGTATAATTCTTATACGAAGTTGTGTAGGTACATTTAAATTACATGATACTGGATATTACCACATGAAACGGAATAAGCATTAAACACGTTTGTACTTCCGTATTTCCCACGGGAGCTCTTATGGGTGCACCTGCCCCGATGCCCCCATGTAGTCGACACCAGTGGTGTGGAATCCACTTAACTTGATTGATGAAACTTGAATTATAGGTTTTTGCAACACTTTTCATTATTCAATTAAATTCGTCTCTTGAGAACATGCCCTTGGGTCAATCGATCTTAGTTATTAAAATGCTAAAGCTCCCAAAAAAAATAAAAATCAATGCCAGTTTCCGATTGTACACAGATAAAAATTAATTATAAGGGTCCATTATAATATATTCCCATAAACTAAAGATGTAATATTTTACCTGTGCAATGGGCAATCCAATTTCCTCAATCAATCGTCCACCATAGACCAGTGGCTGTTTCTTAGAAATCATCAGAGGCTCTATAATACCATTACCCCTGTTAGTAACCCATTTATAATGTTTTTTGCTGATATCTTTTGGTTCGTTTATAGGCAAAGTGAAGCTAGACAATGTCAGAAAAGCGGTCAAGTTAGCCGTATAAAAAGCTGTCAAAATCGTAATGAAAATCCACCAAGTCGAAAACAGAATTCTCGACGAATCGGTTCTGGGATTCAACGTAGAACCTTGCTTCAATAGAGCCCCATAAACGAACCACATGCAAACGGGCAAAGAGAAAACTACGTCGTGGTCGTCTTTGCATAATATCTTAGCACGTAGAAATATTAACAACCATAAAACTGGACCCACTACCAGTAAGGATATAATAATTAGTGTCCATACTGTAGCTGTGAAAGGAGCTAGCAATCTAGAACCTGAAGCCGACTCTTGAGGTCGGCTCATCAAAACGACCCATTGAGCAGTGTCCAAGCTTCTCGAATAGGTAACTATGTCGCTGTATTGGATTGGTAGAAAAGCAGCTGCTACATCTACAACCTGAAAAATATTTTTATAATTTAATCTCGAAACGTTCCGAATAAGAGCCTTCTAAAATGTCAGCAGAGTATTTAAAATGTTCATTCAAAAATCTAAGAAATCCAGTCTTCAAATAAAGACTTCAGAATAGTAAAAATCTTAAGAATGTTCACAATAGAAGAAGTTTCTATAGGGCATCGCTTGAAATCGAATTCGGATATCAAAATGTGCGATTAACCCAGTAAACAGATCCGTTACATTTACGTTAAGTTTACATAATTTTTTTTAGCAGCATTGGTTTCATATCAGGTTTATGTAAATATACTGGCTCTGTGTCATTTGCGCGACAGCCGTTTGCGTGAGGGTGAAAAGCGCGATTCGAAAAGCGCGAGGAAAAAAAGCGCGACGGAACAAAAACGCGACAGGACAAAAGCGCGATGGACTAAAACGCGACTGGACAAAAGCGGGATTGACAAAAACGTGACTGGACAAAAGCGCGAAAGACAAATGCGTGACGTAACAAAAACGCGACTGGAATAAAGCGCGATGGACAAAAACAAGACTAGACAAAAGCACGAGGGATAAAAGCGCGACGGAACAAAAACGCGACTGGAATATAGCGCGGTGAGCAAAAACGCGACTGGATAAAAGCGGGAGAAACGAAAATGCGACGGAAGAAAAATGCAAATGAATAATAACCCGGTTGGTTTTCAATTTTAATCGGACATTTCCAAACTTACCCATAATAACCCGGAGTTTACAATTTTAATCAGACATTACCAAATTTACCGATAATAACCCGGTTAGTTTGCCATTTTAATCAGACATTTCCATACTTACCCCCAGACATTACCAAACCCACCAATAATAATCCGGCAGGGATTAGCGGGTGACCAAAGTTCAGTCGCGCGGGTTATTATCGGTAAGTTTGGAAATGTCTGAATAAAACGGCAAAGTAACCGGGTTATTATTGGTAAGTTTGGAAATGTCTGATTAAGATTGAAAACCAACCGGGTTAGTATCGGTAAGTTTGGAAATGTCTTATTAAAGTTGCAAACTAACAGGTTATTATTGGTAAGTTTGGAAATTTCTGATTAAAATTGCAAATTGACCGGGTTACTTACGGTAAGTTTGATATTGTCTTCAACCCCATTTGCATTTTTGTCCTTCGAGTTTTTGTCCCTCTCGCTTTTATCCAGTCGCGTTTTTGTTCCGTCGCGCTTTTGTCCTTCGTGCTTTTGTTACTCGTGCTTTTGTTACTCGCGCTTTTGTCCAGTCGCGTTTTATTCCAGTAGCGTTTTTGTTCCGTCCATCTTTTGTCCCTCACGTTTTTGTTCCATCGCGCTTTTGTCCCTCGCGTTTTTGTCCATTGCGCTTTCGTCCTGTCGCGTTTTTGTTCCGCCGCGCTTTTGTCCCTCGCGCTTTTCGTATCGCGCTTTTCTCCCTCGCGTAAACGGCTGTGGCGCAAATGACACAGAGCCAAATATACTATATGTAAACTAATAGATCAATTCTGTGCATCTGTAAGCAAATCTATAAGCATATATTTAGATAACTTGTGCTTTCTGTAGCTTGCAGAAAATCTTATGGAATCGTAAATATTTCCGATCTTACAGTCAATTGCGACACTGTAGATAAGATTCTCAGGAGATTTTGAAAGAAGAGATTTCAAAATCTTTTTCACTTTTTTTGATAAATCCGCGTGAAATTTTTTTTTCTTTTATTTCAAATTTGGACTTGATATCATGAACAAGGCTTAGAAGGTTTTGAAGTCTCTTATACTTTTTTCAATGATTCCGAATCGTTTTTTAATTCAAGATCAGATTTGATATCAAAAATAATCTCAGAAGATTTGAAACAAAGAGTTAGAGTTATTAAAGTGTCCTTCACTTCTTCTGAGGATTCCGCGTGTGGTTTTTTTCCTTTATTTCAAGTTTAGTTTAGGGTTGATATGACCAACAAGGCTCAGAAGATTAAATGAGTTCAGTCTTGAGTCTTAAATTAGCAGTGTCTTAATCAAAAAACTGCAGTTTTCAATCTTTAATCTTCTGTCTTGTGCTTTATAGTCTTGAGTTTGTGGAAGTACACAAAATCGTTTAGTTATTTTTCTCACATGCAAACTTACGGAGAAGCTTGTAGCTTGTTTAAGAAAAAAATATAACAAATCTACGATAAAAAACTATAAAAACATACGGATTGATTATTGAGGAAACCTATTTGCGAAAAAATACTTCGAAAACTGTAAGTGAGTATCCACACTAAAGTAGCATGCTACTTGTGACTTGCTGCTAGAAAGCAAGAAGCATGCTACTCATTCTAGAACCTTTAGAAATATATGGGTGATTTCACATCGGAGTAGCGTAGACAGAAAAAAAATATTTCTTAAATATTCAAAACAATAGTACATTATATACCTAGGTAGAGAAGTTGCATTATACAATACTTACGCATTATAAACCTCGGCGCTTCGCGCCTCGTTTTATAAAAGCGCTCGGTATATATAGGTAATGACTTTCTCTACCGAGGAATATATAGAATTTTTTTTACTACTGCTAGTAGAAAATAAAACATAGGTTTGAAACCTGTGCTCAAATTATTTTCTCTCAGCTTACGGTAATTTCCTATAATGTACATACAGGAACCTGCTTTTTTTAAAATTGACAGTTTGACACTGAAATTTAACCAATAGAAACCTGTTACAAGCTGTGCTGTAACGTTATGACAATATCCTTGTGTCATGACGTCATCACTGACCTAGGTATTTTTTCATTATTTTCATTATTAACCTAGGGAGAGAAATTCAATTTTTTCAGTTTGTTTCACCAGAGTTTGTACTTGCCACCAGCATTTGCCTTCCTTGTTTAACAAATAGAAAATGACTGAAACAAATCAATAACGTCAAAAACGTTCGTCAGTTCTTGAACCAGAAGTCATTAATTTTAATTTGTCAAAAAAATTAAATGTCTCATATGAAATAATCTAGGACAACCCTTTTTTTTTGAGTTTCAAGATCAAGTATGAACCCTGGTGAAACGAACTTTACTTTACGCGCAGTAGTGGAAAAAAACAATTGTTGCGCCTTCACTTATAGTCGTGGATGAGATGTTGTACCTTGTACCCATACTTATACAGGGTGGTCCATTTAAATTGAGACATTTCAATATCTCGAAAATGGCGCGTTTTTGAAATGAAAAGGTTCAGTTCAATAATGTCTCAAGTTCAATGGCCCACCCTGTATACCTATTGTATATCGTGTGCTAGAAACTTAAAATTACCAAAATTTTACGACTAAATAAAAGAAAAAGTAAAGTCTGTTTTTTTTTTAAAGATAATTCCCCAAGTCAAAAATTTAGTAACTATGTTGGCAACACAAGCCTTCTCTATACATAAAAAATTTGAAAGCCTTGACATTGCATTGCCAACATAATGTCATTTTGACTTTTATCTTAAAAAAAAACAGACTTTAAAAATTCCGCTTCTACCCTTTGCGAACGAAAATAGAAAATTTCCTCAAAAAGGCAAAAAGGGGATAATTCCGTCAAGCTGGCAACACTGTGGCTGACTCGTTATCAAACGCAAGGATATCAACAAAGCATTTGATAGGTTGGATATAAGCCCCGCCCCTTTCCAATCAGATACGAGTGATATCAGCAGGGCATTCAATTGGTTAGTTGAGCCCCACCCTTTTCCAGGGTTTGTGCAGGGTTGCCAGATCTATGAAATGAAAAAGCGGGACTGTTCTTATCCAGACGGAAAGCTCGCCGCAGGCGAAACATTTTATTCGGGTGTCACGCTCAAAAGCATAAGGGGGGGAGGGGCTGTAGTGCTCAATGTGTCCCCCCTCTATGGACCCCCTTGAGCAAAAGCGCAACAAATTTTTTGGAGCCACGCCCAAATTTTGTTAAGAATTCAAGCAAAACTCGACCAAAAAAAATTCTCCTTTATTAATTATTAGATAACAAAATAAACGCTTCACGAATCACGACAAAACAACAGTAAACATCATTATTTATACGTATAGAGTGGCAAAAAAGTAGCGCATAATAATACCTGTGTAACTTTTTGTATGAAAAAAGATTCTAAAAAGCTAAAGGTTGTATGCACTGGGCCGAGTTCAGAAATAACGCACAGGGTGCGAGTGCGATTTTATGGGTGTGCCTGAATAGACAATTGGCCATTGGGCCCATAGCACCGTCTAGCATTTTTGAACAGCTAGGGCGTCGCACCGGTGTCACACTCACACCGGGTGTGTCATTCCTGAACTCGCCCCTGCACTACTTTTTTTGCCACTCTGGTCTCTGGTCTGTATGTTCTGCTTTTATTACATTATATAGAGTAAAATTTAAATAATTTTGTGATAAACTATGTTCTTTCGTTGTGCTTCACAAAATTAAATTATAATTGGATTTGAAAGAATGTTTTTAACATGTAAAATCCTAATCATTCACTTTCGTCACTAGATATTTTATCACTAGTGACGAAAATAAAGTTTTAACATTTATTATTAAAACCCAAGAATCGTGAACTAACAGGATTGCTCATCCTGAGAAGGCGTACGTTCGCCGGTTCTCGAGTCCACAAGGTCTGCGAGTGACGTCACCACGTCAGCTGCTAATATTGGTGACGTCATCCGTCATTTTTGCGATTCAGGCTCGTTATTTGATTATTGCGTCGATTTTAAATGTAGAAATAGCTATTTATGTAACAAGTTGTGAATTGAGCGTGTTTTTGCACTAAATGTGAAGACCAAAAATTAATTAAAAAAAGGCGGGACAGATTAACAAAATGCGGGACTGTCCCTCCTAAGGTGGGACGTCTGGCAACCCTGGGTTTGTGTATCGTCAAGGTATTTGATTGGTTGTTTCCTTTTCAACCCTTTCCAATGGCCCCGGCCCACCTACAGTGACTTAACCTTTTCAAATAGAAATTTGGTACCGCTGCCATATTCTTGCAAATTTTGAATATGAATATAGAAGTTAGCCACGCCCCCGCCGACATATTTTTGCAATTTTTTTGATGTTTACTCAGATATTATTATTAATAATATTATTATCTAAGTATATATTTATTTATTCTTTATTTTTCAATTTTTCCATCTCATATTTTGTTTATTCCTGGATCTTGAATTTTCGTTTTCTTCTTAATTTTTCTAATGGCCATTTCCACCAACTATTTTATGGAAGCCCTAACAATAGGTATGCTTTAAACTGACATTTCTCCGCTTTAAACTGACATTTCTCCATGTAAAAATGTCATTTCAGGGAAAACTTATCGTTAGGGCTCCCCTAAAATAGTTGAGGTTTAAAATGCGTGAGGTATATAATGACTTTCTCTACCGAGGAATATATGGATTTTTTTTTACTACTGCTAGTGGAAAATGAATAATTTGTAATCTGTGCTCTAATTATTTTTTTTGAACGCCCTCTTGAAAGTGGTACCCTCTATCAACAGCCTATGATAACTTCCTATGTACCTACAAAAACCTGTATTTTTTTTTTATTTGACGTATGAAATTAAAATTGAACCAATAAAAACATGACAATATCCTTGCGTTATGACGTCATTTTCATTATTAAACTAGGTATTTTTTCATTATTTTCATTATTTATGCCCGATTGCACCGTCTCTCTTAATTGAGGCTTAACGATAACTATACCTTAAATTGACAGTTTTGCATGGGAAAATGTCACTTCAAGGAATAGTTATCCTTTTTTCCTAGAAAAATAGATTGAATAATGACTATTTCTCAGGTTAGTAGTGAAAAAACTAAAATTTTATACCTACCTTATCAAGTAACATATTCCTAACTCCACCCTTTTTTCCATTAACTGGCTCAAAAACATTATGCTCAGGAGCTTTGAGGACGTATTTAAAACCATACTCTTTTCTAAGAATTTCTAGAATATCAAATGCTACTCCTGTTCCTACTAGGGTACCATTTTCTTCCTTGTAACCACTAAGAGGACCATTCTACAAATTTTAGTCCAAAAACAACACGCTCATATTTCTATTATAAATCCACTCACTTTTAAGGTTGTCACAATTAAAGTTTCATTTTTGAGTTCCTCTTTCAATTTATAATAGCGGTGATTAGTGATGCCGTTGATGCGATCTTAAAACAATTTATGAAACTTAATTGTTTTTCGGTCAAATTCCCTTACCGTCGTCACAGGTGGAATTGAGACACAAAGTCGCCAATGCGGTTAGTATAAATTCCGATAATACCATACTTTTATTTTGGTAAACTTTTTCTCTTTTTCGAACGCATTTTGTGTTAATCCAGTGACCCGCCACAATCTAATGATGTGACGATTTTACCCCAGGCCCGCACGAAGGTGTCATCATATTGTTTCCATTTAGGAATTATGAGCGCATGGAAAAGTAAATTTAGGTAGGTAGGTATATTAAAAATATGGATTTTGTGGAAAAATGTGTGACTTCTTTGGTTTTTATAGATAGATTTGTTTGATAAAATGTTTGAGATTTTGGTTTTTCTTTTTTGAAATAATCATTACAGTATGAGGATTTAGGGTTGTTGAACAAATTATTTGTATCTATTTGTATACCTACACATTGATTCAAATTGACTAAACATTGTACTATCCTACTAGGCACATTTTCTTCAACTTAGGGGATATCTTCCTGAGCATTCTTAAATTTCTAAACTACCTATAACATTTAAAAATCTCAGAAATAATTTTCTCCATTATTTCTTCAATTGCAGAGCTGTTTTCGGGTTCTTGAATTAACGAAAGAGACAATTTTTCACAGTAAATTCTTCTAGTTTCTCACCTACAGAAACATCTTTACTCACTTCAGGATTTTCAACTACAAACATATTTTCTTGAGTAATTTATTCAACCACTCTGGATAATTCGTATTTTTTACTAGCTACAGAAACATTTGTACCTAGTGTGTTTCTGTTTAATTTCAGGATCCTCGACAACAAATTTTACTTTTTAAGTTAGTTCTTCAACGACGGGAACATATCTTTCTGACTACTGATGCTTCCAGGCATATTTTCTAAGGCTTTTCCCTTAATTCTATAGTTGCTGATAAGTTCTTTGTTCCGGTTCTTCAGACGTCAACAGCGAACATGTATTCTTCAGACTTTTTGAACACAAGGATATGTTAGGTTTTCAACTACACCTTTCTGCGTTGTTACAGATTGTCTGATTGTCTATAACTACAGGCAAATATATTCCTGATTTATTTCTTCAAATACTATATAGGGATCTCTTCAGGAACAATTCCCAGTTCCTGAACAAGAAACAGGTTTTTCCTTTGCCTCTTCAGAAATTTTATTCATTTCCGGTTCTTTTTCTTCTCTAACTTTTGCTACGGTTTCAGAAACTTCTCAGAGTATACATTCCCAATAATAAATGATGAAGGAACTTCTTCATCAATAATTTTGTTTTCGTACATAAAAGGCATGAATAGGTAGATATGGCTTTTATAGGTATGTCTGTTTACGCACTACGTATTTGAAATTCAGTAAACTGGACTGCGACTGGAAAATCGCACAAACAAATAGAAATAGAAATGAAAATGATACCATAGGGTTGTCGAAATACATAAAAGATATTTCCACTCACCTGGGTTTTCTTATAAGCTGTGTGTATATACGGGGTTCTCCACAACCACCAACGTATCAGCATCGACTTAAGGCACTGAAGGTCCCTTTTTAACGGCACAAGACATAGACTTTTCGAGCGTAAAACACGGAACCAAAAATTACAACGTGCATATGAAGCACCATTTATCTAGTGTGTGTAAATTCAAATCTTTAACGGCTGTCTACCTCGTTCGGCGCAGGGTCGTAGAAAATACACTCTTGTGTGTTTTACGCAAAATTGACATGTAAGTAATTCTTTAATAAGAATGAGAAGAAACCAAATTTATAAATAATGTTGCGTCAACAATGTCATTGATAGTTGATTCTTGAGACTTATTTTCCAAAATGTCGAATTCTAAAACAACACTCGATCACTACCCCAGCAGGGTCCTTATTCTCGAGACAGGGAACTCATAAGAACGAAGGTTCTGTCTTCGTCACCCATATTTATATTTTCATAACTTTGACAAAAACAGAGCTCTCATGAGAACGCTTTCCCCCAGACCAGATTCAACAACATTTTTCATTTCTCATATCCATTTTTTTAATCAGTAGTTAAGTTTGCTTTTGATATCGTTATCTGGATAGGCACTTCTATGAAGATAATGCGTTTTGCGATTTCCTGTAGAAACTTCTCAGCACTGATAGCTTGCTTATTTTCCAAAGTTTATTCAGATTTTGTACTATACTAATTCAATTTATTCTACAATTTTATTCAAAAAAAAAAAATCACAAATATTTTTTTTGTCGATCTGGTTTTACATAGATATTTTTTAAGTCAGAAATCCCCTGTATAAATTATTCCAACAAGTATAAAACGAACAATTTACTAGGGCATTATTAGGGCGACCTTTTGCTGATGTTTATCCATCATTACCTACCGACACACACCATTTATGTTTGACGTTCAAACAAAATAAATTAATATTTTTCCCTATATCTTTTTATTCCCTTGTGTTTTAACAAGTTTAAAATAAACACATCAAAGGAAAATTGGATTATGAGGAATAAAAAAAAAAAATAGGTGAAGGACGGTTTGAAGGGCAGTGTGTTGTAATTTGCTAACTAAGCTTTTATGTCTACTTCTACTGTTGCAAACACGTCATCAGAATTATTAATTTTTAGACTATTCACCTAGAGTTTCTCAGGTGTTAAGTGTTTATTCAAAAATCGCTCAGACACGTCAATTTTTGATTTTTTGGGGGACACATTTTATTGGTATTTTCACCACCTACCTGTCAACCCCTAAGTGGTGGTAACAGGTACCCCCAAAATTTCAAATGAAACGAGGGGTCGAGTGATATGTCATTTGGTAGCTATTTTCATTAAGATTATATCCCAGGAGTTTTGAGTTGCTACTATTTACCCTGCCAAAATAGCGGCATGTCAAAGTTAGAATAAATCCTTTTTTTCGATAATCTAAAATGTATAGTTTTTACCTGTCACACCTATGCGTAGGTAACAGCTAAAAACCACACAGCATTTTTCCATTGATTTTTCCTAACTTTGACAAGCCGCCATTTCGACAGGGTAAATAGTAGCAACTCAACACTTCGAGGATATAATCTTAATGAAACTAGCTATCAAATGACGTATCACTCGACCCCCCTTTTCATTTAAAATTTTAGGTGTACCTGTCACCCCCACTTAGGGATTGACAGGTAGGGGGTGAAAATACCAATAAAATGTTTCCCACAAAAAAACAAAAATTGACGAATTCGAGCGATTTTCAATTAATCACCTAACACCTGAGAAAACCTGGGTGGGAAGTTTTTCGTGCCCCACCCCACCCTGTATGGTGTGTCATTCAAAGTAAGGCACTCCAACAATCTAGATTCCAAGGAACTGTATGTCAAAAGCTCTATGGTCAAAAGTTAGCCAGGAGCAGGCAAATGTTAAAGTGCGCAAAAATATTGGTAAAATGCCGGCATTTTGTTGTGTAGTGAAATAAAGTAGTAAGGGAGAACGCGACAAGGTTAAATTTTATAAAATATCATCGGAACTGAATCGAAAACATCCTGATAAAGTTAAACAAACAAATTAGAAGACAAAGCTGGTTGAATGCAATGAAGATTTAACTGGCAGTGAGCTAAAATACCTGTTGTAGTTTGTTCGAGATATAAATCGTTATATAAGGCGTCATTCAGTTGTCTTTAAAGTTAAAAATTTGAAAATTGGGTGGAACGGGTAAGTCATTGAGATTGAGACGCATATTTTTCGTAAAAAAAACAATTGAATATCACTTCCGGTTACTCTGGAAATGGACCCAAGTCAAGAAATGTTTATGGAACCCTGTATATTTTTTTGCACAGTTGGATAGAGCTTAAAATTCCCTTTCCAATGCCATATCACAACTTGCTTCTGTTTCCAAGATGGCGGCGTAAGAAGGTATTTTTCTTAAATTCAATATGGCGGCATTCTGACGTAAGCGATAATGTTTCTGTCAAACAAACACTTTTAACAATCCATAATTTTTAGATTTGAAATGGTTCTAGGTCTAATTTGAAAAAAAAAAAAAAATGATTTTGCTCAAAAACAACAAATTTCTTTGAAATGCAAATTTTCTAAAAATTTTGAATAGGAAGAGGTACTTATTAAATTCTAGAATTAAAGTGTGTCCAATGGCCTACCGAAAAATGTCTACCAAAATGCATATTCATTTTTTTGGTTAGGTATTCAAAGGTTAGGTCAGAATGCCGCCATATTGAATTTAAGAAAGTGCCTTCTCACGCCGCCATCTTAATAACAAATTCCACTTATCATATGTCATTGGAAAGGGAATTTTAAGCTCTATCCAACCGTGTAAAAAAATATACAGGTTTCCATAAAAATTTCTTGATTTGGGTCCATTTCCAAAGTAACCGGAAGTAATATTCAATTGTTTTTTTATGAAAAGTGTGCGTCTCAATACTCAACCGTTCCACCCGATTTTCAAATTTTTAAATTTAAAGACAACTGAATGACGCCTTGTATAACGATTTCGTTGTCACCTGGTATACCTATGTATATCATACATACATTAGATTGCAGGTGGATTAGATATAATAATATGCTATCTCCACTCATCCACCTGCAATCTGGAAAACTTTTAATGCACGCGCTACGTAAATCACGGTGTATAGTACTTATTATCGAGTATTAATACCTAAGAGCCACTACGCAACTGTTATTATAAAAAAAATGTACATTAAAATGACGCGTGTTCGATTGTATGACACGTGACACTTGTGTGACACAATCGAATTATGTGTCCTGATTCAATCAGGCCTATGATGTATCCACTCCTGTTAAGGTTCACACATAGCAGTGACGTGACAGTGCCGTGACCGGCACACGTGATTTCACCAGCGAAGTCAAAATTATTCTCGTAGGAATTTGATGATACCTATTCCCATCTGCCCGACGCACGACCGTGAGAGTGCAAACAGTGCTGTCGCCGGCACCGTAACGTGATCGTTATATCAGTTCCTGACGATATTTTTGGATTTTCACGGCTGTACAAATTCAGTTGGTCCGTAATTATCCCGTTTTGTATGACCTGTGCAACTCAAAATACATGGACTCTGATTTCAAGAGTGCTATATGGAAAGTGTCATGCTTTTTCAAATGAACTTCTCTCTTGCACAATAGGTTGACCGAATTTTCTGACATCCTAAAGTAGGTATTCGAAAAATTTTGCTGCATTATCTACTAGTTCTTTCTATAATGTTACCAGGATTTCCCTTCTCTATACCTCTCTTTTTCCATACAGGATGGACCCAGTGTCGTTTCTGTACCTGTTGTTCCATTTTTTCGTCTAAAACCAGTGCGATCTGCAAAAGTTCTTCATCTGAAAATATTTCCATTTGGCTAACTATACTGACACAGCACTGATGAAACACAAGCAATATGAATAGAAATCACTGTGAATTTACTGCCGGTGAAATCACGTGTTGGTCACGGCACTGTCACGTCACTGATATGTGTGAATCAACCTGTATTTTACCAGTTCTGCTATAGGTAGCTCAAAATCTACACTTGTCTCTATTTGTACGTATAGAATAAACAGTGACAGATAACTTAACGTTACTGTTAAAATAACAGAAAAGGCCCAGTGGCGCACCCAGGAGGGGTGCTATCGAGCCACGCCCCCCCCCAGGTAGCACCTCCAAAACTGTATTTTTACGTTTAAAAAACGTAGCAACGTCAAGGCGTAGAACCCTGACACCTCAATTTTTTTTTAGATTTTCAGTCACAAGCCACAACCTGTGTAGGGCCCCCCCAAACATATTTTCTGGGTGCGTCATTGCTCCTGACATCAACAACCTGGCCATATTTCCTGATATCAACCACCCAGACAGAATCACCCACTTTTAAAGGTTCCAAATTTTTAGCATTGTGTCTCTTATTGCAGTTTTTTTATTTGTTTATCCTTTATCTCTTCATTTTATTTTCAATTTTCAGACAATAAATCGTCTCAGTATCTGTAATACCATCATAAGTGAACTTGATACGTAACTTACCCACAGTGTTATGATCATCAGCAGCGCCAATTGGATCACATTTCACTATCCTGGAGGTAACTTCTCATATGGAAAACAGTTAACGTCTGCTCCCAGTGTTGCCAGATCTCACGATTATTCGTAAGATTACACGATTTTGGTCAGAATTTCACGATCTCACGAATGAGGTAGCAATTCTCACGAATTGTCTCTGTAGTAAATCAAATCACTAATAAAATATAATGTAATCGAGAATAATCGAAATAAAAATCTACTAGTTTAGTTATGTTACGCCGCTTCTGGTACAAGCGCGCCTGAACACGTAATATAGGACTGCTTATTGAGCTGAAAGTGTTTGCCAAGTCCACGAGAACCCACTATCTGTGACGTCAGCTGTAGACCTCAACTCTTGGATCGAAGAAAATGCATTATCCGAGTCCAAAAAACGGATTCATAAACGTGAAATCACCTTTTCTAAATTTTAAATTCCCAAAAAAATCAACTCACAAGCACAGCCTGAATTGCAAACAATCCATCGAGGTTTGCAGTTGACGTCACTACTATCATATAGCAGTTGCTGAAAGTGGTGACGTCACTTGCAGACCAGCTGCTGCCTCGAGAATTGACGCCTTATGAGCAATCCTGCGGATAGTGAAAACGAGGTTCAGCTCTCAGAAACACCTGCTAAAAACGGAAAAAACAAGGATACAAGATTTAATAATAAAATGTTTATTTCTTATGGATGTAAAATCATGTTTACTTTATCAAAAATCTATGAAAAAAACATTGTTGTGCTTTATTTTCTTACAATAGTGAGCAATTTTTAGTCTTACGATTTCTCACGATTTTTATTAAATTCATCTGGCACCACTGTCTGCTCCACTCTCGACAAAAAATGGTACTCTGATTCTATGTACACTTGGCCAATAATCGTCCTCAGAACAGCTACTAGTGTTGAACTCTAAGCACTCAACAGCTCTGATAGCCTTTTTCCTGCACATAGCACTTTAGTAACCTCTACGTAAACAAGATCTACACTCAGAGAACTTAGTATATTTCGTATATTCTCCCTATCTTTGCATGTACCGTATACGGCAGTAGGCACACCTATCACCTTCTTTGGAAGTGTTTTTGTTTATTAAGAAGAAACTTATCCTTGTGCCTTTTGTCCTTCAATTCCTTGTGATCGTGCTCTCGACGTTACTGTGAGAAAGTGGAATTTATAATGAAATTTCTTCACGATTTTTCTTTGGAGTATTTTTATTTATTAGATTAGCAGCCAGCACCCTGTATATATGTTCTCAGATTATTGGAAAGAATCGAAATAATACACAAAACCATGGGTTTTGAATGTCCTAAGCGTTCGGGTTAAACAATGCCCCAGCGACTTTTCACGGATTAGCCGATGGAGTTTTTTGAGACATGAATACCTTGCCGACTATCCAAACTCAGGCTAGTTTTTTCCAAATTCACGAACGCAAACGCTTCCTAGATGGAGAAATTTTTCACAGCTTTCTGTCATCATTCTAAACTCACATGCAGGACGTTGAATGGTGGAATATCGGGTTACATCTATATAGTGAATATGCTAACAGCACTTGAACCTCAGCGAAACTTCTAACTTCTCTCATAACCCAACATCAGTTATTGTTCGTCGATTTTTATCTGACACTTTTCGTATGAGGAGCGAGGGGGTATATGGCAAAAACAGGTGTCACGTCAGGTGACCATTGACGTTCTAATGTAAGGTGCCACCAGCTCACATATTCATTTCGAGTATCAGATTAAAATCGACAGACTTTACATATTCTGAATATTGAAATCTATCCTCAATTCTTTGCTTTGCGGCGGCGTTCATTCTCAATTACGTTCTGGTCTAATTCATTGGCTTTCATCAACCACAATAATTATTGTATCATTAGCACAATCTTATTATTTGATTGGCTTGAGATTTGGACTTCAATATAATTAGAAGAACATCAGAGCTGTTGGAATAAGGGGCCTACTTCTAGGACTGGATTAATTTTTGAAGACATAAACTTAAGTTAATGTTAATACACTGGTTCTGGTTACCTCAAGTTAAATTGATGTCTCTAGGACTAGAATTTTGTGCCGGAAAATTCCAGACAATATTAGGCCTAGACCTAGAAAATGTTCCAGATGAATTTAGTAAGAAGGTAGCTACCTTATGATTTAGATTTTGGAAAACTTTGAAAGGTTATAACTTTTTTTCTATTATAGATAGGAAGCTGAAATTTTCAGCGATTCTTATTTCAGTAGAGGACTTCAATCCTTGAAAATTTCAACTCATTTGGACTTATAGTTTCTGAGATAAAATTGTGTTAAGCAATTTGGGGTGCTTTATCAATTTTTCACTTATTCTGAGTGCCTTTTTTCATAGATTTCGGATTCAAATCTTGGAATAACTTGGTGTATGGAGTTCGGGGAGGTATTTTCTTAACTCTTAGGCCTCTTCATGATGTTTCTATAGCTATTTTTGTTTTTCTTTACAGACCACAACAACGCATATTTCAAGTCATTTGTGCCAGTTTAGCTTGACTTTGATGTCAATTGAAGAAATTTTTCTCAGTTTGACCTAATTTTATTGCCCACAACACACGCTAAAGTTTCCCTTATTGCTATCCGTCTAAAACATAATAGTTATAAAGATTCTTGTCTGCATTTAACATGTAATCTGGAACAAACAAAAAAATCCTTTGTCGTTCCAAATAAAATCGTGCAGGTAGAAAGGTAAATGGGGTAAAAGGGGAGTTGTAAATCGATGGTACATTATAAAATGACAACACTGTTATTATCCAAAACATGTATGTCTACATTTTTATTTTAATGATAAAATAATTGATTTTTATGTATCATACACATAGGAATATTTTTTTTATCATCCCCCAAAATCTAAAAGGAAAAAACAATTTTAGTAATTTATTAATATCGAAACGCTCTACTTACTAGTTAAATTGAATTTATTAATGGCATGCTCAATTCCCTCTACAATGCCAGCAGGTGGAAATATATGCTCCCAACGGGTGAGGTTGAATAAATTTCCAGCGGTTGAATTACCATTGAAACCGAATAGTTCTTTGAGATTATCAAAGAAAATTTCCATATTGTTACTGCAATGTTCTAAAAAATGACAGTTTTTGTTATTTATCATGCACGATATTTTTTCCCTTAAATTTGAAGTCGACTCAGGTGCAGGATTTACATTGATTTCAAAATCAAAGCTTGAAGCACTAAATTTGCAGAAATCTTATATAGTTTTTAACCAAAAACATATTTTATCCAATTTGAAAGCTAAAACCATCGTCCATCGTACGTTACAATAATAAAACATCGACTATTCTAATATTGGGTACTTACCAATCATAGCATGCACAATAATTTTCCATACATTACAAAATTGTGGAAACATGCCAAACAAATTACTCAATCCGTGAGCATTTGATAAGAAATGAGCAAAAATTCTAGCTAAATACGATAGAATTGGCCAATTTTCTGTTGCATTGTACAGCTTGTCCAAATCTATAGGTAGCGATCCATTGAATAGTGAAACTGGGTTCAAAGTAGGTCCAGTATTACCAGGAGTTGTAGTTAGAGGATTTGTTGTAGTTGGTTTGATTTTATTTAAAATTGCATTTTTAATCGATGGTGGTAGTATTTCGTAGAGAAAATGTAGTTCTTGGGTACCGTTAAGCCATTTGGACACTAGAAATTGATTATTTGAAAAAATACAAAATAAACAAAAATTTAGAGTAACTGATGCTAATAACTTACCAATAAGTAATTCAACATCACAAATATTCTCACAAACTACTGGCTCTGCTTCTCTAGCTTTCAATCCTTTGTGGTGTCTTAATAAGTGATGATTGTATCTTCTGTTATGAGAATTATGATGGGCTTTTTGGTGAATATGGTGTTCTGAGTCACCTAAATGGGATTCAGGTTGGTTTGGGAGAATAGGAATGTATACAATATTTACCAGGTTGGTTGTCAGCTAAAATTGGCTGGAAAACTGCCAAGAACACTAAGAAAATCTCCAAAGTAATCATTTTCAGCAACTAACTGATTCAAACTGTTCAAATGTCCTTTTATAAGTTCATCAATAATGACAAAAATGTGTGTAAATATTTTAGAAATATTTCCACAAGATTAAAATGCAAATTCGCTACGGTCTTGGCATTGACATTACTCATTTGATGATTCAAACGTTGCAGTTATTAGTAGATAAAATTAAAATTTTTGTGAAATAAAACGCATTTTATAGAACAAATTAATACCCCATTTATTTTCAACAAGTAAAATGTGTTTAAATAAACTAAACAATCTCTCTGAATGATACAACGCACTCTGCAGCTTTTTAAAAAAAATAATAATAAAAAAATAAACAAATATTAATAACCAGAGAAAACTTGATACAATGCTTTTGGTTCTGTATCCAAAAAACAAAAAGGGGTGAAAATGCCTAGGGGGTTGTACAGTAGGAATTAGATTCAAGTTAAAAGGAGTAAAATTATGTATTGGCTTACTTTATTAGGTATTTGAGCCAAATTATATTATCTTATTTTTTTTTGTACTATTGGCAGAGGAAGTGAAATTACTGCCGGTAAGAAGGACGTTCATAATACCAAAAGCCAGAGTATTCATTGATTCATCTACCTCCCTTCAGTATCAGGTCATCCCTGGAATTGACTAGCTAACAAAAAAAATATTCTCATAAGTTGGGGGTTGTAATGTCTAAAGGTCACTACCAAAAACGTTTTTATAAAATATACAAGTAATAAAATATATAATATTAAACATTAAACGTCTAATAAGTGTTTTAAAACATCGGGGAAATTAGCAACACATTGAAAGCAGGATCTTTAAAATGCACCTCTGCTTGTGCTGATATATTACTGCTTCAAACCGCAACCTAGTAACTCCCATCATTTTCGAAATATATTGATTTCCATTTTGGGTTGTTAGCTTCACTCTTGGTAACACATTGGAAGCAGGATCGCTCCAAGATGTTCCTGCTTGCATTGCTAAAAATTTCAGCACAAATACGTGGAGCAAAATATTTTACACTTTTAGGTTGTAAACGAGGGTTTTGACAAATAAGTTGTAGAGCAGTCTCAAAAATATCTCAAGTTTTCAACAACATGGGGACGTTATAGTTGCACTCGTCTACCATTTGGAATCTGTTCAGCACCAGAGGTATTTCAAGAAATAATGAGTTCCTTGTTAAAAAACATTCCAAACACTCACTGCTTAATGGACGATATTCTTATTTATTCCGTAGAAAAAATTACTAAAAAAGATTTGGAAACATTAGAAAATTCTGGATTGAAACTCAATAAGGAAAAATGCATTCTCAATGTTAAAAGAGTTAAGTTTCTTGGGCATATTTTATCGGAAAATGGTATTGAAATTGATGATATCAATATCAAGGTGGAAGCTATTAAAAACTTAAAGACACCAACAAATATAACAAAGGATGATAACATATTTGAATAAATTCATACCAAATATGTCTGAGCTTACAGATCCTTTACGAAAGCTTCTAAAAAGAGATGTTGAATTTATTTGCGACATAAAACAACACGAAGCTTTCAACAAAATAAAGGTATAGTTGACTAGTGCACCTGTTCTGGAATTTTATAATGTAAACAAGGGTGTTACATTTTCAGTAGATGCTAGTTCGAAAAATTTAGAAGCTGCCTTGATGCAAGAAAATCAACCCATTGAATATGCTACTAGTTCATTAACACCGTCACAACTATTTCGTTTTTAAAGATTTTTCCAAAAAATGGTGTTTTCAACATGCAACCTAGTCGATTCATCCAAGAAGCAATGGTTTATCGAAAAGTGTTCAAATTGCGAAAAATCTGTTGAAAAAATGTATAGACGACACCTAGCTGTCACTGGGTTCACTTAATCAAAGACTTTTTAGCAGAATTACCAGGACATTACTTCCAGCAAACAGTGAAAAGTTGAAACCAAATATTGTAGAAAATATTACAAATGAATTGAAAAAATTGGGAGAAAATGAAAAAGATTATGCAGACAGACATGCCACTCAACCCCAGAAATATAAAATAGGAGATTCTGTTAGAGTACAACTTGCCAACAGACAATGGGAAGGTGTGTAACCATAACAAAAGGCAAAAGTTGATGATCAAACAAAAAGATCAGTATTCTTACGAACATCAAAGAAAAAAGAAAAAATAGTGTTCAAGTTGTAATGATCCGGAAAAATAGTCCCAATATTAACAATGTCTTTACTGTAAAAATTAAATGTAATCAAATAATCAAAAAACTGAATTTCCTGTATTTCAAATCAGTATCAATAAATTGAAAATGAAACAAATTAACGTTGACCCCAAATACGATCAAAATTATATTAGGTATTTCGTCACCAAGCCTGTGTCATTATCTAAATTCCTAAAAATATTAGAAGCGAGGCCATAGTAATTAAATCGATAATTTATGGCAGAAATTGCGATATAATTATTCGATTTTAAACTAATAACAAAGGAGATTGCATCATCCTCACAATTGTGATGGACAAAGAAATTTTTGGGGGATCGACAGTTGTCAGTTGAGTTCGCAGTTCAGTCCAGTTTGAGTTAAAGCCTATAGTACCTAATGTGTCAGTCCTGGTAAAATTCGCGACAGTTTCTTTTATCGCCTCGGAAAAGGTCTTTGAAATAGTAACGGAAAATTGTAAAAGAAAGAACAGTTAAATTCGTTCAATATTATGTGCGTGCTCTAAAGTTCATTTCACGAAACGAGATAGTGAAAGTAAACAAACTTTGACAGGTAGGTTAAATTTTATTGGCTAGAATACTCCGCCCTAGGCAGGACCGTCTTAGGTTGTTTTGTATTTCTCTTCTCTGAATATATTTCCGAACAAATTTTTCAGCGGAATCTGTTGATCTTGATATTGTTTTAGTCTAAATTGCTCACTAATTAACAGTAATTCACCAAACACTATTTAAATAATTGTAAAATACTAGGAAATACGACATTAAAGTTATTGATTCATATGACAACCTAACAATAATAAATGTCATTAGTTGTAATTCATATTTTTGCAGTCCTGCTCTGAATTTTTAAGCTCCGCCTGTTTGTTTACTTCTACTATCTCGTTTCGTGGAATGAACTTTAGAGATTTTTTGAAGTAAATTAAATTAAGTAATTTTATGTGTGAAAAGTTAAATGTAAGTACTTTAGTGATTATTTTTCTGACATTTAACAATGATTTTGAATGATAAGAAGACAATGACTTTTAATGCCTAAAAACTTGAGTGATTTTGACTAGTAAAACTTTTCGACATTATAAATGATGAATGACTATGAAGTGAATTAACTTTGGAACTTTATTGCATAAATATTAATAACTCGAGTGTTTTGACTATGGAACATTATTGCATAAATTTAATTGCCTTCGAGTATAATGACATTTTAATTAATTTTGCAAAGAATTAAAAGGGGAATTTATAATGCACTTAACCAGTATCGATTTTGAGTAGGAATTATTAAAGAATTTTGAATTGGATTGTCCAAATTGAAGTTTGAGGGCTATAGTAACAAATCTAATAAGCATTAAATAATTGTGTTTGTTGGCTAGGAATCCGAAAATAGTAATTGTTCTGATTTAAATAAACCATTATATGTAAATGGGAAGTTTCGAAATGAAACTTGTTGTTCATGAAGAAACATTGATAGGTAATCTTAATTGCTGAAATTTTGAATTAGGGTTTTTATTTTTCATGTAGAAATTATTGTAAGGTTTTTTTATAAGAATAAGTTAGTAATACCTATATTAACAAAACAAATAATTATTTTGATTTTGCATAAGCAGTCAGTAAAGGACTTAGGAATTTTAAAGAATTTATAGATATAGGCGAAGGGTAGTTGAATAGGAATGAATCGGAGGTGTTGAAATGTATAAACGTATAAGTTATTGAGAATAGTTGAAAAAAGGGCGTTTTTCTTTTATGGATATTTCCTGGTCCGTAATAATGACATTTGAACGGATGTGAAATAATTCGAATTGGAAAAAATAGATGTGGCTGTCAGAATTGAAAGATATTTTGCTTATTTAAATTTTTGGTTTTATGTATAATAAAATATAATTCAGTAAACCTTAATAGTTTGTTTCCCTCTTTTGCGAATAGACCCTTCCACAATTTTATAGGTAGCAGCTCCAAGGAAATAAACATCATCAATATACCGCTCGCCATCTACCATCTAATCAATTACTTAGAGTACGTGGGGCGTTTTGCTACAAAGTTCATGAAACAAAAGCTGATTTCAATATAAATAATAACGAAATAGTTTTAACGCCTACCAGTCCAGAAATTCAGGAGTATAATCAATCACTAGTCGAAGAAACTTCAAATGGTCAACCAGAAACTCTAACAGAACCACCGATCGAACATTTCAAAGTTACTCCGAACAAAGACGGACAAAGTCTGGAAGAATAATCAAACCTGTCCTTAGACTAAAGGGTGAAATAACTAACCATAATGGAAATCCCTATATCTCGAAAAAAATAAGCGTTGTGATTTAAAGCAGGATGAGGCAGGACCGTAGCAACACAAGCAGGAACATGTTTGAGAGATCCTGCTTCCAGTGTGTTGTCAAGGGTAAATAGTACGTGTTTCCGGGGTCAGATTTGAAGCGGCATGAAGCAAGACCATCATTTCTTGAAATACCTCTGGTGCTGAACAGATTCCAAATGGTAGACGAGTGCAAAAATAACGTCCCCATGGTGTTGAAAACGTGAGATATTTTTGAGACTGCTCTGCAACTTATTTGTCAAGACCCTCGTTTACAACTTAAAAGTGTAAAATATTTTGCTCCACGTATTTGTGCTGAAATTTTTTCCATAGTTTTCAGTGGATGTCTTCTTGAATAGCAACACAAGTAGGAACCTGTTTCAGCCATCCTGCTTCCAATATGTTGGCAAGGGTGAAGTTAGCAACCAAAATGGAAATCGATATACTTCGAAAACGATGGGTGTTATTGAACAAAGCAGTAAGCAGAGGTGCATTTTAAAGATCCTGCTTCCAATGTGTTGCTAACTTCCCGACGTTGTCTTAAAACTGTAAAAACAATAATTAAGTGATAGTGTTTCTAAATTTTAAAAGGTGACACAATTTTATTTCTATTTTGGTGTTATTTTTTTTAATTAAATTGTTTTTTTTTTTTTGGGAGAATTAAACAGACTAAACAGTTAAACACCATATAAAGGCCACACTCATGTACCGCATATAGACCTAATTCGTGTAAGTGCCTTCATTTACTTACATAGACCAATGGATGACCAAAATCAGAAATTTTTAAAATAACAAATTGTCCTGAACAAAATGGAATGAATGCATTTACATGGATTAAGTTATCTATACTGTACGTAAATTACACTTTAGCATATATTATTTAAAGTAGATTATGAACAACAGAAAAAATCTCAAGTTTTTTTCGGCCATTTAAAAAGATCAGTAGTGTATACATACTTATGTATTATAAAAACTAAATATGCGAAAGGCACATTCACAGTTTTAAGTATTATAAATAGTTATGGATAGAATTATTATAGAAGTGAGGCAATCATTAAAATATTGGTTTACCACACACAAAATAAATATGTTTAAGATTATTTTAATTTATTTCTTTTCATGATTGTTGACAAAGTTTTTGACACATGCATCCCTAAGAATATTCGTTTTTGTCTTTACAAATCGAAACTTAGTGGTAGTTTAGTAGCAAATACTACAAAATTGTCACTCAATTGACTAAAGCTTCATTCATATTTTTGGTTTACGCCTTCAACCTACTACATCCCGTCCGGTTTTGGTATATTGGTGTTATAAGCTCTGATAACGTCCGTTTGAGAAACAGCACCGCCCTCTTCTTGGGAAAAAGCGAAACCATCTAAAGCAGCAATAATTATACCATCAGATTAAGGTTGTTTGTAAAAAAATTGGATGTAGATAATGTGTATATTGTATGGGCTGGAAATGGTTTTCAAGTGTCTGATAGTTAACAAAAACAGCCATAGAGTGTGGCAGGATTGATGTGTCATTCTTAAGGGTGTAATAATTAATTAATTTCAAATTTAAGGTTAATGTTAACTAACTAACTCTTTAACTAACAACATTAATTCCTAGATAAATGTTCGTACAGCTAAGAGTTTATTTAGTCTAAATTTCATAACGGAAAATCCTTATTGCATATGAAACTGAAATACAAAAATATAAAACATAATCACGGAAAATCAATCATCCTCCCAGTAAAATACCAACAAAATAAATAATTCAATATCCAAAAAGCAAATATTATTTTTCTATTTAGTGAATACATAGACATGTTTTAATGTAATGACAAAAAGTTTATTATAATTCCATTTGCGGGTAATTTTATTTTTTTCAATGTCGATCGATGGACACAAGGACAATAAATTTGAAGACGCAGACGTTTTAGAGTGCATTTTCTAATACGTACATTTTAAAGCAAATTAAAGCTAAACAATCACCAGCCGAACCATAGGAAATAAAAGCTATTCAGGGAGTTGGTGTTTTTTTCTCTTCAACGTGTATACAAGTCGATTTTTTTCTGGCTTTAGATTAAATATTCTTATATGTCAGAGATAATCTCCACAATTTAAAACCTGTTTATCAAAGATTTTAAAACATTATTGTTTTCTCTCGGTAGCCTCGATGGTTATACCAGGGTCTTGATTAAGCATTGCTTGCGACCCCTGGATTACCGTTTCTCCTCTGTAACAAAGCTGCCTGGTGCACGTGGGCCCTCAACCACTTTAATCCTGAGGGTGGCGCCCGAGACATACCGCCGAATAAACCCTAACTGGGAATCCGCCCTGATTACACAAAAATAGCGCCTTACAAATTTGGCGCCCGAGCAGGGACTCGTTGATGCTTCTGCCAGTACAAGTTCAGCCGTATCCAGATCAACCCCATTAACCGTATGCGAGTTGGTTGTACGCAATGCTGCCTCCGTTTGGAAAACTAGGCCGACGCTTTCCCGCTCCGAGGTCGGAGCAGCATCGCAGAATCCCCACCTCGAATCTCACACCTAGACGAGCTCTACCGGATTGCCGTCCTCATATTTTGATTTACTTGTATGAAACACCATTATCAGCTCTCGTGGATAGCGGAGCTGCGACTTCTTACATAGGAGATTTTGCCGCAGAAAATTGTCGAGAAAAAGGTGCTCTCGAAGTGCCACCGCCCGTCAGAAGTGCAAAAGTGGCCAACGGTAGCGTAATCGATATAACCAAAGCATACCGAATTCCGCTGAAGTTTGGTAACGTTACGCTGTCATAAGAATTGAATTATTTTCCGCACCTTTCTTCTGAGGTAGTTTTGGGAATCGACATTTTAGGACAACACTCATTTAGATCTTCGCTCAAATCTGGTGTACTTAGACAGCAAACCGCTAGACATTCCGAATTTGTGCAGAGTGTGACGAGAAGTGAGGCACGGCGCCTGCAAGAATTTCTAGAACATGAACTGCCAAAGTTCGGAAAAATCCAGAGGGAATCACTACATTAATTCAACATTTTATAAAACTGCTCAACCCATTAAACAGAGATACCGTCCGCAAAATCCGAAGATGCAGAAAATAATTGTCAGTGAGTTAGAAAAGATGCTAGAAGAGGGAATAATTGAGCCTTCCTTCAGTCCGTGGAGCTCACCAGTGGTCATTGTTCGTGAAAAAGATGGCAAGTATCGGTTCTGTATTGACTTTCAGAAAGTCAATACCATTTCCAGGAAGGATGCATATCGCTTGCCCTACATCAATTCCATCCTGAATAAACTCCGTCGGGCCCGTTACATTTTAAGCATCGATCTCAAACAGGGCTACTGGCAAGTTCCGCTAGCCGACGATAGTAAACCGATAACCGCCTTTACAGTGCCAGGCCTGCTTGTTTTAATTTCGAGTTATGCCATTTGAATTACATTCTGCACCGGCTACTTTTCAAAGATTAATGGATCATATTATTGGACCCGAACTCGACCCCTACTGTTTCGCCTATCTGGACGACATCATCGTTTTAGGAGAAACATTTGAACAACATCTGGCTAATCTGAAAGAAGTATTTAACCGACTCATCTACGCTAACTCGAAATTGAATCCTGACAAGTGCCAATTCGGAAGAAAATCGCTACGATACTTGGGACACTTGATCACTGCCGATGGAATCCGGACCGACCCTGAAAAAGTCACCGCTATTCGACTAATTTGCGAAGAACATCCCGTCTAGGTAAGGACGTCCAATATATTTATTTTTTCTCGTAATACAGAGGCTTCCATTTTGTTTCATCCACTGTTTTATAGCTTATCCTGACCCAAACACCTTTCATTAATTTTTCAGGAAACAGTTAAGGACTTTTCAGGTGTTTATTCCAGGGACTCGCCGAGTCTTGATTAAGCATTGCTTACGAGCCCTGGATAACCGTTTCTCCTCTGTAACAAAGCTGCCTGGTGCACGTGGGCCCTCATCCACTTCAATCCTGAGGGTGGCGCCCGAGACATACCGCTTAAACCCTAACTGGGAAACCGTCCTGATTACACAAAAATAGCGCCTTACAAATTTGGCGCCCGAGCAGGGACCCGTTGATGCTTCTGCCAGTACAAGTTTAGCCGTATCTAGATCAACCCCATTCTCTGCTCATCACATATTTTTCTATATGTATAGATAATTAATAGTTTGGAAGCAAGATGGACCATTTACAAAAAAATCGATTTGTACCACGTTGTTTTTAACATAATGAGTACTTTGTTTTACTCGAGTTACTATGATTCATCAAAAACCTTAATTTGCTAAATGTATGTAAAATATGTGCAACTTTGCAAGTGTTATCAGTTAATGAAGCATAATTAGGGGCTTGCGTTGAAAAGCCATAATTTCTATTGAAGCTAGCCTGCGTTGTGTTACCTAATTAGTCGTTTTTTTTATACAAAATTTACAATATTAGCTTTGTACATTAACATACTACATTAAATCCCGTTGATATAGAAGAGTCAATACAAATAGCCCAAGAAAATTATGGGGTTTTCAAAAAATTTTGCGGGGGCAGGCTGATTTTTTCAGGGCTAATTGGAGACTGTGTCCTGAGTATTGAGCCAAAAAATCACACTCGAAAGCCTTGTGCGTTCGGCCCTATTGGCCTTTTTCTTATTTATTTTTTTTCGACAAAATGACCTTGACAAAACTTGTAGATAATAACATTCTGATCAACTTTGCCTCATGCCTTTTTTTGCTAGCTATTTTAGTTTAGGCGTTGCGGCCATTTTAGTGCTCCAGAATTCGCAAAAAAATTAAATAGCAAACCTGCAAATTATTGTAACTTTAATAAAATTACTGGTAATGTACTTAATTACATTTTCGGTTTCAGTCCAAGAAATGATACATTACATCACTAATCTGGTGAAATTATTTTCCCGGAGTGAAAGCGTGAAATCGAAATGATGTTTTTTTTTGACAATACTGGGACCTGTTATCTGTTTGAAAGGTGACAAAATGTTTTTTTTCTACAATCGGCCTAGAAAGTAGACTTTGTCGATTAGATTTGTGCTCGCAAAGTAGACGTTTCCTGATGACCTCCACTTTGCCGCTTTAGAGCGTCAAACTACATCAAAATTCTTCACTCTGTCGCTCTAGACTTCTAGAGCGACAAAGTAGTAAAAGAAAAAGGCCAATAGGGCCGAACGCACATGGCTTTCGAGTGTGATTTTTTGGCTCAATACTCAGGACACACTCCCCAATCAGCGCTGGAAAAAATCAGCCTGCCCTCGCGAATTTTTTTACGGCCCAGGTATAAATTTCTTGGGCTAAAACTAGAAAAAATATTAGGTTTTATATGTTATGTACGAACCATTGGTTTACCTACTCTTTATAGCCCCTGAATTAATTATTTCAATGTTTGGCTCAAGAAAATCCACATGACAATGACAATTAACCTTTTATTCTTTTTCTTTGAAAATAATTTGCAAAAGATGGTTGTACATAAAATTTTCCATTTCTGACTATCCTGGACGGTGAGGGCAATTATGGCTTTCAGTCAAAGAAAAATTGGTTTATATTTTAATCAAGTTATCTATCACCAAATTCATTAAATTATTCTAATTATGGCTGGACTGTTTCTGATTTTGTTATATCAAAGCATAGTGAATGCCATAATTGCCCTACTAATAACAGTCTCAGTACATAAATCACTATCAAAAATAAAGATTAGTGGTTAATATACTCACGGGCCATCTCCACGTCCTGCTCGATCCTCGGAGTCCTTCTGAAGAAGACATTCTTGAGCAGCCTCGCCGTCTCAGACAGTCTGCAAGAACCATTCTGATCGAACTACTCCATCGAGTTTACATTTTTACACATCACCCCAGTTTTAAACAACAAGAATAAGTACTACAATTGGTTAGTTGGTTACCGAAACATTTGCAATATAGTAGAGGTGCACGATTGGATGATCTACAAGAATTTACCTTGTAGATCATCCTACAAAAAACACACTACCTACACATCAAAAGCCAATAAGCATTATAGCCTAGAAGCATGCAACTGAACATGCCACAGGAAATATTATGATCCTAAAAATATTTAACTGTTTATTAGTAATTATTGAGGACGTCAGATGGTCGCGTAATAAAATCTGAAACATGAATCAGATTTTTAAAAAATTCCGATTCCAACTTTTCACGTTGTGTGATGTAATAATGAAAAATTAAACAAGTTTCAGTGTAATGTTCCGATTTAAAAAATGTCAAACAAAGGAAGAAATACTTACATATTGCGAACTGCTCCAATGCATGCATGGGACTTGCAAATAAAATAAATTATTACAACATACAAAATATAATCAACATTTTTGTATTATAAATGTTGGTTAATATCATGCTCAATTAGAACACATTTATTTAAACTAAACATCCGTCTAATATCTACTACTAAAATAAGGTTAATTGAGGCAACTGATTGTTATAACTCCCTCATGCAATTATTACATTTTAGTTAGGATTAAGACTAAAAAAAATAAGAATTATTTATCACTTTTCTAGAAAAAAGTAATAAATAATTTCTAGTTAGTAAATTACAAATCTATGAACAATTTTTTAATATAAATGTTAGACTGTTTTTAAAGTTACAAATTTCATTATATGTATGAAAAAATATAGAAAAGTTAGTTTTTGTATAACGTAAGAAGACTAGATATATATTAGAGCCCTTGTTTTATACAAATATTAGTAAAAGCATAAAATGTAACTTGTAAAATGTGTGCGTTTTTCAATATAAATAGACTTTGTTATAAATTTGTGCGTACAAATTAGATGTACATGGAAGCACTACTTTTGGTCCCATTGGGTCGTTAAAAACCTAAAACTAACTGATTATTCATAAATATAGATTCTTTTGTCCAAATAAGTTTGTCTTATGAAATCCTAATAGTGTGGGCCATCTCAAATACTAGTTTTTCAAATAGGAACATTTATTCTATTTAAAACACCCTCGAACTGCTAAAAATATGTAAATCTGATAGATATGAGTAACAAATACTGACAAAGAAGAAAATAATACAGTGCCTGGAGTTGGTTCGAAAAAAAAAATGAGTAGTGTTAGTATACAGGGTGTCCTACGAGGTTTTTCCCAAATGATAATTTCGGAACGCATCATCGTATGTTTCACTATATTGGAACAAAATTTCCTAATCCCTACGCCACTGTATTATGTCAACCTGCTACGCGGCCTGTCAACTACGAGATGTCAACGCTTATAGTGCAATAACGCAAATTTCATTTCGTTTTCTTTGGTAATATAAGACCAATATACAGTAATCAGTTTTCTCTACGGGTTCTCGTTCAATTCTTCCCGTGTACTCAACTTCCCTAATAATTATCTTACAAATTGGCGCCCAACGTGGGGCCAAGGTGAGTTTCAAGACTGGTAAAGTGATTATTGTGTGCCAGATTGGAGTGTCAGCCATCTAGATCTACATAATATTAAATTATAAGCCTCAGCACATTTTTTCTGATCTTTCGTTGCTTTCATTGACTTCGGTACAGTATTACCGGAGTTCTGAGTGTGAGGTATTGGAATTTCAGTAATGCTGTTACAATCAAGTTTAAAGTATAGAAATCGAGTTGAGATGACTATGTCTGAAATAGGGAAGATGGGAGAACGATAATAATTCGAAATTGGCCTGTAACAAAATTCTCTAATCCCCACGCCACTGAATGGTGAACGCTCCTCTGTACTGTGTCAACCTGCTACGCAGCCTGTCAACTACGAGATGTCAACGCTTATAGTGCAATAACGCAAATTTCATTTCGTTTTCTTTGGTAATATAAGACCAATATACAGTAATCAGTTTTCTCTACGAGTTCTCGTTTAATTCTTCCCGTGTACTCAACTTCCCTTATCATTATCTTACAAATTGGCGCCCAACGTGGGGCCACGGTGAGTTTCAAGACTGGTAAAGTGATTATTGTGTGCCAGATTGGAGTGTCTGCCATCTAGATCTACATAATATTAAATTATAAGCCTCAGCACATTTTTTCTGATCTTTCGTTGCTTTTAATGACTTCGGTACAGTACTACCGGAGTTCTGAGTGTGGGGTATTGGAATTTCAGTAATGCTGTTACAATCAAGTTTAAAGTATAGAAATCGAGTGGAGATGACTATGTCTGAAATAGGGAAGGTGGGAGAACGATAATAATTCGAAATTGGCCTGTAACAAAATTCCCTAATCCCCACGCCACTGAATGGTGCACGCTCCTCTGTACTGTGTCAACCTGCTACGCGGCCTGTCAACTACGAGATGTCAACGCTCATAGTGCAATAACGCAAATTTCATTTCGTTTTCTTTTTCAATATCAGACCAATATACAGTAATCAGTTTTCTCTGTCGGTTCTCGTTCAATTCTTCCCGTGTACTCAACTTCCCTAATAATTATCTTACAAATTGGCGCCCAACGTGGGGCCAAGGTGAGTTTCAAGACTGGTAAAGTGATTATTGTGTGCCAGATTGGAGTGTCAGCCATCTAGATCTACATAATATTAAATTATAAGCCTCAGCACATTTTTTCTGATCTTTCGTTGCTTTCATTGACTTCGGTACAGTACTACCGGAGTTCTGAGTGTGAGGTATTGGAATTTCAGTAATGCTGTTACAATCAAGTTTAAAGTATAGAAATCGAGTGGAGATTACTATGTCTGAAGTAGGGAAGGTGGGAGAACGATAATAATTCGAAATTGGCCTGTAACAAAATTCCCTAATCCCCACGCCACTGAATGGTGAACGCTCCTCTGTATTGTGTCAACCTGCTACGCGGCCTGTGAACTACGAGATGTCAACGCTCATAGTGCAATAACGCAAATTTCATTTCGTTTTCTTTGTTAATATAAGACCAATATACAGCAATCAGTTTTCTCTACGGGTTCTCGTTCAATTCTTCCCGTGTACTCAACTTCCCTTATAATTATCTTACAAATTGGCGCCCAACGTGGGGCCACGGTGAGTTTCAATACTGGTAAAGTGATTATTGTGTGCCAGATTGGAGTGTCTGCCATCTAGATCTACATAAAATTAAATTATCAGCCTCAGCACATTTTTTCTGATCTTTCGTTGCTTTCATTGACTTCGGTACAGTACTACCGGAGTTCTGAGTGTGAGGTATTGGAATTTCAATAATGCTGTTCCAATCAAGTTAAAAGTATAGAAATCGAGTGGAGACCAATATACAGTAATCAGCTTCTCTGTCGGTTCTCGTTTAATTCTTCCCGTGCACTCAACTTCCCTAATAATTATATTACAAATTGGCGCCCAACGTGGGGCCACGGTGAGTTTCAAGATTGGTAAAGTGATTATTGTGTGCCGACCGCGATTTTCGTGTAGTTTTTCGACGAAACCCATGGTGTTTTTCGCGCTCATTTGGTACGGTAGTCATCACCGAGAAACAGCTGAATTGCGAACAATTGTGACGCGTTTGGTACTGCGTGAGTAATCACCGGTTTTGTGTACTTTTTGTACCAATATACAGTAATTCGTTTTTTCTAATGCTCGTATTACATCTGTGTATTTTTCCGTGTATTTATTCATGTAGTTCAGGGTGACAACCGAAAAACTTCAAACGCATTATAAGTCAGCATTATGAAAAACAAAATAATGTTGGCAGCCTGAACTACATGAATAAATACACGGAAAAATACACAGATATAATACGGGCTTAAGAATTATCTTACAATATAGTTTTTTAGCATTCTTGTCAACAAAGCCCTAACAAATATGGCGTTGCTAATTTTGTTAGTTGACGTAACTTGACCAAAATTGAAACGAAAGTGAAACTAGATGACAATGGTAGAAGCGGCACAAAAAGCTACCCAGTTCCTCGAAATTTCAATTATATTGGATAGCGCATTCTGAAGTATTGGGAAAAACGTTGTGGAACACCCTGTATAATATGTTACAGATAAAACAAGATAACCCAGTCTGTTTCTTTTTTCAGAGCAACAGTATCTTCACAAAATGGAGATTCTTTACTCAGATAGAGTAGCTTTATTTATGGTTTGAAAACAACGAAATCAGCTCAAGTAACAAGGCAAATGATACTGCAGTGAGACACCTCTATTGTAATTATCAAAGACATCTTAACAATAAGCCTTTGTAAACTGTTAAGATTAGGATTTGAATATTTGATAAGTAGGGGCGTTGTGATTATCAAAGATTCACATGTTAGGTCTGTTCCAACTGACACGAAAACCATTCTATTTAGAACGGTAATTTCCAGTTGCCAACCTATTTTTCAAAAGTTGAACGTTTATCCTGAAATAAAACCAGAACCGACCTTGTATAGCCATACCAGAGAGCCTTGTTGAAGAATTTGTTTATTATCATTAACGCCAAATCTATTGTTCTCAATAGATAAAGGAAAAATCAAGAAGGGACCCGGTACAAGGATGCGAAATCTACAATCTACCTGCTAACAGTTGTCGCGTTTTAGCTTTTATCGGTGGGCTGTGTTTTCTTTTGCTTACGATTATTTCTTGAGTCTAAACTTACGTATTAATTAAGTTGTTTATTATCTAATTTCGTCGTTTTAATTGAGATATTCCGAATCCCTTGCAATTCTAATTGACAAATGAATTGATCGACTGGAAATTACGGTTGGAACAAAGCTATTGATTATCGGACCATGTGGTGCCATTGTTCACCTACCACCATTCATTTTAAAGTACCTATTAGCCAAGTATGAAGATCGACGTGAAATAAACGCAAAAGTGGAACAAAGAACTAAATTGTCGCTGTTTGGTAATAGGAATGATGTTAATAATTTGAGATCCAACCAGTTTCCATGAGATGATAATTTTTAAGTCAGTAATTTAATATGTTTTTAAATTATCTACCTAAAAGCAGGTTTAAAATTGGTCTTTTTAGCAGTTCTCAGGCAAATTGTCCAAAATGAGCATTTTTAAAACTTAAACTAAAACAATTAATATCTTGTTCGAGCCAATGATAAACTTCAAAATTCCATATCGTCATTTCGATGGCGCACCATAATCGTAACTGGCGTCACGGCTTTTTTCCGTTTTCTCACCCAGAACATCCGGGAAAACTTGCTAATATAAAAAAAATCAACACGTTTGTCCCTGTTTTACACAACTAGAAAAAAAGCGTATATCAAACCCACACACAGAAAGAACCTCGTCCCGCTACCAAACCCCCAAAAAAAACAACGTTGCATTGCCCGTGTTGCCACTAAAAGTGCCGGAGAGGGGTTTAATGCGTGCTGGAATTTGTTGTAGACGTAGAATTAACATTAATCTATATGAGAAGGAATTTTCTATTAACTGTACATTAATAGAAAATAACTTGAACAAAGACAAACAAATGAAAACTAAACAACAAAAGCCTAATAGTCACGATGCTAACATATCAATCAATTAATTAGAAACAAAAACCAATTAACAATTATTTTAATAAATAGAAATCAAGCATCCAGCTTAATTTAATCTATGAAAATGAAATTATATTTTTCAAATTTTAGATATACCTAGTGCTACTGTTTAAGTTAGTAACCTAACAATTAGTTAAGCGATTATGAGGTGATTTTCAAATTAGTAGAAAGGTATTAGCATTGTATCACAATAAATTAATCTAGCGTGATTTCTATTTTCATAACATTAGATATAATAAAATTAAGTATACTTACGAATTTTTAGAATCTCCCCGGTACACCTCAGGATCTCTTTTTCTAATTTCGCTCTCTCGCACCACATCAGTCACTGTCTTAAATGCTGTATTTTTAACTCTAAGAAAAATATTATCAAAGCTCGCAAACAAAACATTACATCTAAATACATACATTTTAAATATAAAATCAGGTATAATGGTGATCACAGGTATTAAAAACAGCCCCATCCAGAATACGGCGCTGCTGAAAATCATTATGTACATACCGCACATTACACTGCCTAAAGGTATTGTTGGCCAGAATAAACTGCAAAAAAAAAAACATCAAGAATTTTTTAATAAAAATAAATAACCACTTACCTATACACAATAACAAACAAAAACCATAACAGTATCGAGCCCCAGATGGCACAGTGTGTGGGCCAAGGCCACGAATTTGTTACTAAACCAGCCTTTAAGCAAACCGTTACTACCACATACTAAAGAAAATTTTTTAATAAATTTATTTTACAACAATCAAAATCCTTACAGTATAAACCGCATTTCCAACAACCAAATAACCTCCTTCCTGGCCATTCGGCCACAATATATCATGGTTAGTTGCCAATATCGGCAACCAGAACAACAAAGCAGAATGCACCAAAGAGTTGATAATCCACATCCAGAAAACTTTGATGTTAAACAGCTGTCCGCTTTGCGAGGGTTTGTACAGTTGGGGATAGTTGATCATTTTTTCCGCGCTGCAACTTTTGTCGAACAGGCCCATTGCTAGGGGCGGAAGGGCAGTGAATAACACGTTGTATAAACCTAGAATGTGAAAACAGTAAGTAAGTAAAGTGTGAATATTAATGATAATAAACGCGTTTATTTTGAGGAAATATATATATTTTTTTTTCACCAAATTAATCAGAATTCCGACTTCTATAATTTCATCATCACCAGAATATAAGATACTTCCACAATAAAGAAAATGAGGTGCCACCAGCGAGCTAAGAAGAAGGATATTTGGACAGAGACTAAATATAAAGCCACTAGTTAACAAGTCAGCAACCGAGGGTTGGTTTTTAAAAAAATTGACTTTATTAACAATTCGAAATTATTACCAGCGAAAGCACGTTACATTAAAAGTTATAAGTATAATAAATTTCAACTGACTAACTATCCTAAGAAAATACATATATTTATAATAAGCTGAAAAGCAGAATAAGCCTTTTAAATGAGGACTCAGCAAATAGACGTGATATAACTCACTTCAAGAATTCTGAATAAATGGAGAAATGATCATAGGCCTCAATATCAAATCATCTAAGTTAATTTTTAGTACAAAACATGACAGACCGCGAGCAGCTGTGTTACTCGATACCAAAATAAAATTGTCACTTCTTCCAGGAATTATTTTAGAGAAATATTTTGTTGGTTTCCCAAAGTTCTCAGTCTTTCAATCTCAACTCGTTTAAGGTTTCTATCTGCCAATAAATTTTCATATTTGGCAAATTTCATCAGCACATTTTATAAGTACATGGTTAAAGCTTAGAGATTTTTGTTGCAACAAGTTTCTTACCTATTGACCATCTTTCGAATAAAATTTGTCCAGACCAGCCTGAATAAATGGCGAACCACAGTTCGATGACGTATAAACAGATATTTTTGTAGAAACTGTACAGGATTAGTTTACACATTCTTGAGTAGTTCCATGCTCCATGCACCAAAAGTAATCTAAAAATAAATTCATTAATAAGAATTTTACAATAAAATTATGCATATTATAATGCATTTAAGAAATGAACTTTTTTACCTCATCAAAAATCTAAACTGCGCTATACTATAATCGCTAGCACACGCAGCTTGCAATCCCTCCACTCCTGATATACCAACACCAACGTGTGCCTTCTGTATCATAGCCACATCGTTAGCCCCATCTCCTATAGCCAAAGTAATAGATTTAGTATGTTTGGTCACATATTCGACGACTTCGGCTTTTTGCATCGGCGACACTCTACAGCAAACCACAACTTTACAAGATATGCACAATCGTAAAAATTCGTTACGTAATTCGCAAGTGAGGGCGTATTTTAACGTTTTACCGTCGATAATGAGTGCGATTTCGTTTTGTTTGTCCAAACTTTCGCCTAGTTCGTCGCAGTGACGTAAGACGGATTCTCGGACGGCATCTAAACCGTCTTCATTCAGTATGATAATTTGCATTCCCTGAGATATCAGTCTACAAGAATAGCCGATGTTTATAGCGGTTTCCTGTTTGTCACCAGTGAGGACCCAAATGTTGATGTCGGCTTTCAATAAAGTAGCTATAGTTTCTGGTACACCTTCTTGCAGTTTATCTTCGATGGCAGTCGCGCCGATAAGTTTCAGTTTTCTTTCTATTAGGTTGGCAGCTTCTTCGATTTTCTCTATGGAATTTATAACAATGAGAAGATTTTTTTTTTTTGAGTTAATAAAGGGGGTTTCAAAAGAATGATTCACTTCGATATTACAACTACACAAAAAAACTTACATTTAGTTTTCAGTCATACTCCATATTTGCCATGAACTTTTCGCAGAGAAATCACAAACCTACTTAAAGTGATTTTAAGAACTAACTAACAGACCCTGTACCTTGAATAATGAAAGTCTGCTTGTTTTAAATACAAAATTATTGATTTCAATAAACTACAGGACATTATAAGGTCCTTTACGGGGTATTTTAAAATACTACGAGCAATGAGTTCCTTGTATTTTTTGATACAATGCCGAGAGCAGTGGAAGAACTACAAATCACATTAACATTCGAACTTGGAAACTCTGCTTCACTTTCATTTACCATCTCGTCATCCTAAAAGCTTCGTAAGACTGGCCATTATATAATAATGATGGCAATACATAGGAAATCTGCGCTAGACAGTCATTATATCATATTCACCAGCCTTTCCGGATGGGCCAGTTACGTTGATTTTGCAAAATGCATCTGCTCCAGAGCAGATGTATGTTTACTATTTTGGTAAATTATTTTCGAATATTCTTTTTTTCCGTTTTTCTGTAGATTGTAGATTGCATTAGGAGTCGTTACAGCTTGTTCCAGCCGCTCTAGTGTCCAAGATTTGTAGGCTCCTCCCAAAGAAAAGGAGACCAACTTCCTGAGTGGTAAAGTGCTCACCTCTTGGGGTGTTAGTATTTCAGCCTTTTGCCGAAGTGACTAGGGCATTCACAGATTAAGTGTTTAGGGATATTTTTACCCTCCCAAACTAGCTGAAAATTGCACTTGATTGCTCCTAGATCCTTTAGAGCCACTTGACTGTTAGACAGTATGTAAATGTGCTCTCTTAAAAGGCCTTTTTTAAGACAATCTTGGGCACAGAGATTCAACTTTTCAAATTTTAGTATAGGTATATTTTAATTTGATAACAAAATCTAGTCCTTCAAAATTTAAATGTAAGAGAATCAGGGTATGAAGTTGTTGTTTCAGTATTCCTGCCAACTGGAAATAGTGCGCTGATAATACTCCATCCAAAACAGAATTGATCGTTATTTTTTACATTTCCACGGCTTTTCTATTAGCTATTTCCTTCGGCAACGGAATATATGATGAAGAAGCTTTCATTGGGTTATGTATTCACATTGACTTCGAGGTAAAGAATTTTACGCAAAGCCCAACCTGATCGATTTCCTGCGAATGTAGATATTTTTTCCTTGTGTTTATAGCCAGAACCTCAGTTTGTGGACGTTTCACCAACTGCTCATGAGAGTGTAAACTTTAAAGTTTGGTCCAGTTATTCCAAATCCCAGACCGACTCCTTCCGTTAGCTTCGAACCATCTGTGTGTACCACAATGATGCGTTGTCCGCTTGCGGTAGCTTTACGTTCTTCCATGATTGGAGTTCTTTTACAACCACTTCCTATGGAATGTCAAAGTCCATTGATGTTATCGATCTGGTGGCATTCGAGCCTTAGATTCAAACAACAGGTAGGTATAACAGGTAATATCTTTTACTTCATTTCTTTAAAGCATATGCTCGCAATATGTTGCGTACATATTGTGAAGAACACTTTTTTAAAAAAGTTTCAATTCGTGCCCTGTATCTAATCCTGTGTCATTTACATCATCTTCATCTTCATCGTTTGATTCAGGGAGATCGTACAACTTAACCCGGCATTACACGCGTCAAAAAACTTACGTCATTACACGCGTACGGTCAAATCGATCCAAATGTTCATATGAAATAATCTACCCTATGAATAAAAAAGAGCATTTGCTTTTTCTACCAAAATCTGAAGCAAATACTTCATCCAGTATGAATAAAAATTGAAGCAAAACCTTTTACTTCAAAGTAGAAAGCAAATGCTCCAGGAAAAAGCGAATACTCTTTTTCTTATGAATAAAACAGAGTATTTGCTTCAAATTGGAAGCATTTACTCCTTGCGAAATGCATCTGCTCCAGAGCAGATGTATGTTTACTATTTTGGTAAATTATTTCCAAATATTCTTACTTCCCGTTTTTTTGTAGATTGTAGATTGCATTAGGATTCGTTATAGCTTGTTCCAGCCGCTCTAGTCTCCAAGATTTATAGGCTTCTCCCAGAGGAGGCCGGCTTCCTGGGTCTTAAAGTGCCCACCTCTTGGGGTGCTATCCCCTTCAAAGTATTTCAGCCTTTTGCAGAAGTGAGCAGAGCATTCACAGATTAGGCTTTCTATACTTTTTGTTGCTGGTTTGCAAGATCTGCAGTGGTCGTTATCTGATTTGCTTATTGTTATTAGGTACTATTTCACCAGGCAATGCCCAGTGAGGAGACCAACTTTCTAATGTCTTTTCTGTTCATGCGAAGTTCTTCAGATCACATATGACCTTTATCATATGTTCATTTCTTTGGAGACGTGGCTTTTCATTAGTCTACAAAAAGACTCTGGGCCTTGAAAAGATGTTAAAGCGCCTTGCTTTGTGAGATGGTTCGCCTTCTCGTTGCCCTCTATGCCATGGTATCCTGGTACCCACATCAGGGTTACTTTATACCTCCCAGCCGGACCCAGGCAGTTGCTTAAGAATATTTTCACCCTCACAAACTAGCTGAGAATTGCACTTGATGGCTCCTAGAGCATTTAGAGCCGCTTTGACTGTAGGACAGTATGCAAATGTGCTTTCTTAAAAGCCTCTTTTAAGATACTCTTTGGCATAGCCAGTACCTCAGCTTGAAATTTTGTGGGCGTTTTACCGATTGCTCAGGAGAGTTTTTTTTATTCCCAGACCGACTCCTCTCGTTGGCTTCGAACCATCTTTGTGACTGCGTACCACAATGATGCGTTGTCCGCTTGCGGTAGCTTTGCGTTCTTCCATGATTGGAGTTCTTCTACAACCAATTCATATATGGAATGTCAAAGTCCAGTGATGTTAGCATATGATCTGTTGGTTTACTTTGGCACTCGAGTCTTAAACGCCCTACACACGTAACGATTTATCGTACTGCATGCAGTACGATATCCATCGAAACTGCCGCATCAACGATAAATCGTAGCGTGTGTAGGGAAATTGGATGGTTTACAGTATGAAGTTGTCAAATCGTTTGCAGTAGGGAGCTTCCGTAAAATATCGTATCAACGGGTCGTGTCTGGGGTGGGGTTTAAGCGCAACGTGTGTAGTGTATTCCTGCCGCAGCGCGCAGTTACGATATAATTTTATTTTTGGTTTAATCAATATTATGGATTTAAAAAATAAGATGTTCTGGGAAGACTTTATTGATTTATATAGAGAAAATAGATGCCTATGGGATGTGAAATCAAAAGATTATGCAAATCCATCAAACACGTAAAGGCATCCGAATCCATTCTTAAATAGTTTTTAAAATCAAGAGGTTCTTCTTTTTCCAGCACTTTTAACAGCCTCATATATGAATATTTCTTTCTCTCCAGCAACCACTTTTTACACCATTTTCGCTTTTTGATTTCTTTTTGTTCATCATCTTCATCTATCAGCAATACCGCAGCTACAAGCACGGCAGCTTTCTTCTTTGAAATTCTTGACATAACGGTATGATAGCCCTTCTCGACGAAAACTGAATAATCTGAACTGCGGCAGTACAATGTGTTGCATCGTGTGTACAAAAAATGGCTGTACTGCAAGCCGTACGATTTTCTTCACGATCTGCAGTTCAACGCGCAGTACGATAAATCGTTACGTGTGTAGGGCGTTTTATTAAATTGAAATAACAGGTACCTACTACTTTAACTTCATTTCTTTGAAGCGTATGCTCGCGAGTAAAAGGTTTTCATTATTCATATGATATGAAGTAAATGCTTCTACTTCTACCTTTTACTTGAAGCTTTTGCTTATACTTCTACCTTTTGCTTAGAAGCAAATGCTCTATTTTTATTCATACGGCTGAATTAGCTTTTTTCGCGGAGACGACCCCAAAGGTATCCTGAACGCTAAGGCACGACCTACGCGGGTTTACTAATCCGTAAAAACATGAAACTTTCAAATAATACCTGCGAAGGTCATGCCTTAGCGTTCAGGGGATACGTTTGGGATTGTCACCACGAAAAAAGTGTAAAAGCACTATAATTCCTAGAATTCATAATAATGTTAAAGGGAATTAATTATATTATGCAGTACAGTTACCGTATTATCGACAGCCAAAGGTACTCCCAATATCAAGAAAATGCCAACTTTGAACACAAATATTTTAGATACTCAGGTTCACGCGCCTGGTCAAAAACACCGACTATGAAAACAACGAACTATACTTCAACAAAAAACCAAAATATTTTTGGGCCAATGGGTAGTGGAAAACCTGCATCAGGCATTCCTGGATGGACAAGACTGCCACCCTTGTACTAGTGACGTAATAACTCGGTCCTTTTGACCGACACACGTGTACTCCTACTCCATTTAACAACTTTAATTCATTTCCTATATCATCTTCATCTTCATCGTTAAATTCAGGAAAGTTCCGACCTTTTCAAGTTACCTACCCAATTTTATTTAAAGCATCTGGCATTAGTTCGGAAAAATTGATTATGAAAAATTAGCACAAAACAAATATCTTTATGCCTTGAATAAGATGCCTTTATTTATATTATGATGCGATTATTGGTCACATCGCGTACTTACACCTGAAATTTAAAAATTGCAGTAGCTGGAATAGGATCATCTCTGCTTCCTCCCCTGTTACTTCTTTCTTTCATTTGCCTGCAGTACTGTATATGTCCATTTGGCATTTTTAGCACTTTCTAAATATTTCTTCCATGTTGCGTTGTTCCTTTTTCAGTGCATCATGAATTGAATTAACCATTAATTCTTTGTGCTTTCATAAGGTCTGTTCTCACAGAAATCACAAACCAGTCAAATTTCATTGGTTGAAAATAGTGAGAAAACTAATTGTTGTCGATTTGCACCAATTAAAAACGCTCTGACTGGTTCGTGATATCTGTAAGAACAGACCTTATGGAGATCGTCCGTTTAAAGGTATCTTGATAAGGGTTTTGTTGTTCTAAAAATCGGCCCACATTCTGATCGGCCCACCGGGAATTTCCCGGTATCCCGGTGGGTTCATCCAACCCTGATTAACATCCCCCAAACTCCATACACGAAATCATTCCCAAATTGCTTAACACGATTTTATCTCAGGAATTATAAATGCAAATAAGCTGAAATTTTCAGGGATTGTAGTCCCTTTATTGAGATAAGATTCAGTGAAAATTTCAGCTTTCTATCTATAATAGAAAAAAAGTTATGCCCTTCCAAAATTTCACAAAATCTAAATCATAAGGTAGCTATTTTATTACTAAAACGATGAAATTTCAATTTTTTTTTGTTGAGATTTTGTATCCTAATGGTCAATTAACATCCTCCAAACTCCATACACTAAATCATTCCCAGATTTGAAGTTGAAATCTATGAAAAAAGGCACTCAGAAAAATTGAAAAATTGATAAATCACCCCAAATTGCTTAACACGATTTTATCTCAGGAACTATAAATGCAAATAAGCTGAAATTTTCACGGATTGTAGTCCCTTTACTGAGATAAGATTCAGGGAAAATGTCAGCTTTCTATCTATAATAGAAATAAAGTTATGCCCTTCCAAAGTGTCCCAAAATCTAAATCATAAGGTCGCTACCTTCTTACTGAAACGATGAAATTTCAAAGTTTTTTTTTGTTGAGATTTTGTGTCCTAGTGGTCCTTCGGGTTTCCCCGAACTCCATATACTAAATTATTCTGAGATTTGGAGCCGAATTCTATAAAAAAAGGCACTCAGAAAATTTTGCTCCCACAAAATAACACAGTGCGAACATAAATGACAATCCCCAACCATAAATTTCTAAACCTACTGCGACTTTCATAATTCAAAGGCGTTTGTGTTTTATCCTTAAAAGTTCCATCTTGACTTGCTTTCTCATTTGTGAATTAAAAAACACAAATATTTGTTCAAAAAGCTAAAGATTCATCCATTGATAAATTGATTTACATTTGCATTAATTTTGAAACACCCTCTTATAATATATAGTTGATCGCAAAATACAAATAATCAAAATTAAGTTCTCACCTTCTCTATGCTGTATACTACAACAAGCCTTATGATACATCTGTTTCCAATCTTCATAATCGCTCTTTTTCAATTCCACCACGGCACAACAAAGTGTCCTCAAACCCTCGGTAGCAAACGCCTCTAAATGTTGCAACAGCAATTCCCTGTATTCCCTGGACGAGGCGTTGTTGTCCAAACGTTCGTATATCACAGTGTCAGCTCCTTTACAAAACAATTTAATTTTTCCTTGCGGATCTTTCACGATTACAGACATCCGTTTTCGGGCTGAAGTGAATTCTAATACTGTTAAAACTTCGTATCTTTCGGTTTCGCCTAGAGCGGTAATGTCTACATAATCGGGTGTACGACTTTTGAATACAAAACCGAATTTGGCTGCTCCGTAAACTAATGCTCGTTCATCTGGTGAGGCTGCATGGTAAACTATAGAACCATCGGGCATTTGTTCTGGAATAACTGTGTGACATACAGAGAGAAGTACCAGAAGGTCTTTTATTAAGTCAGCATTTTTGTGTTTGTCTTTTAAATGTTGAACCATTAGAGATTCTTCTGGAACGTCGCTGGGTCGATAGATTTCATGTCCCACGGCACACCGTTTAAATTCCATAATATTTCTTGTCAATGTTCCGGTTTTATCTGAGAAAATATATTTCACTTGGCCTAATTCTTCGTTTAAATTTGACGTTCTTGCCATTGCCGGTGTATCAGTTTCTGCATGGTACATTTCTCGGTCCATATTTATAAAAATAGCCTATAGAAATTTTAGTTTAGATATTTGTTTTTTTGGGGCACTCAGAATTACCTGTATAAATCTTACAACTTCTAAGGTAACTTGTAATGATATTGGTATGAGATTGTTGAATAGGATCAAAAAAGTCAAGAAAGTATATAAAAAGTTTTCAGTTTCTGCAATAGGAAAAAACAAATCAAAAGTGACTTCGATATTATTTGATAATATTATACCTTGAAATCCAATATAATAATGAATATCCCCGTTGGCACGTGTCCAAATCACATTAAATATGGTACAAATCAAGCACATTATGAAAAGTAGTCCAAATAATAGCAATATTTGAACGTTGGTCATTTTATCAATGTTGGATCGTTTTAGTGGAGCCTTGGTGGAGTTTCGCATTAGCTTGGTTTCGTGGCCTGTGTAAATCACCATACCAAAAACCCAGGACGTGTTTCTCAGCATTGCTCCACGAAGCAGGATTTGATCGGGACCTAGCGGTTCATGACTAAAAAAAAAAATGGACATTGAATAGAGAAATGTTTAATTTATTATAAAATACTTTGTGACCAATGGATGAATTGAGTAGCTCAAGAATCACGGTCCTAAGTTGGATGAAGGAGGAAGTTGGGCTTGAGACAGACAATTTCACCCCGGAAAACCAGGCGCCCAGGGACTTTATTCTCGAAACCAGGAACAGCGTTCTCATGAGAACGATTGCTCTGTCATTGTCAATGTTATGGAATGTTATGAATATGGACGACGAAGACAGAATCTTCATTCTCATGAGAACGTTGCTCCCCTGTCTCAATAATAAAGTTCCTGACGTGATGTCACTACCAAACGAGCTCAGAAAATATAGAATATCACTGTAGGCGATTCAGGAAACAGGACGTAATCATAAAATTTTATACAGCGGAAAGGACACCGGGAGGAGAGAGACTGGAGTTCCCTTAATTGTAGACAATGAGATTAAACATAACACACTGGATTTCGAGGAGATAAATGAGAGAATGTGCAAGGTAAAGTTGAATCCAGGATCCACAACAAATCAAAGGCACATTGGAAATATACAAGAAAATGATTCACAATAAGGCGCCAGGAATTGACAAACTCCCCTCTGAACTGTTTAAAGCAGAAGAGGAACACCTAACAGCAGAGGTGTATATACTGACTTGAAAAATCTTTCTCTAAAAAGCTCCTCAACCCGTGTAAAAGGTAAGAAAGATACTAAATTCTACTGAAGTTAAGTTGTACATAATTTTATGGAAATAAGTATGGCTGGGTACAAAAAACATTTTTCTAGCAAAATAAATACAAACCAAAAAACTACCAAGTCACTTACGGTTTGTTATATTCTTTCAAAACTCCATTAAACTCATACAAATGCCTATTGGGTGGTTCACATTCCAACGTGCCAGTTAACTGCTTCATTTCATTGATGGCAGTCAATTTTGCAGTACTCGGCAGAGCCTGGCGAATTTTCAAGTTTGTTTCACCATCTAAATTGGCTGTTTCGATGAAACTCATGCCTTGCGGTTCGCTAGAAGGATTTTATATAGAAATATGGATAGTGTGTGGACGGAAAAATATTTACCTTGAAGATAATAAAACAAGATCCGCAGGGAAGAATGTGTTGTTAATGACTTTAACCAAATCGCCTACAATAACGTCCATCCATCTAACACAAATCCAAGTGTCCCCTCTAAGGACTTCAACTTTTCTGTGATTGGTTTCATCATCAGCTCGGTGTCTTTTCTATAAAAAAAAATTCTCATAAAATTAGAATTCAAAAGAAGAGTATTTATTCATTACGATATCTTCGATGATTTCCTTGATGGCTGACACTGATAGAATAAAAATTAGAGGCACTAAAGTGGTGTACCTGCCAGTAGGTGATACGTCCGGTATTTGTTGCAATAGAGCAATCATAAGGAAAAATATGTTCGCCCATCTTCGGAATTGTTCGAAGAGAAATAATGGTACGAATCTTATTATACTACAAAGAAAATTGTATTAGTAAATTATCATTAATTTTTATGATAAAGTGTTTTACCTATATTTGGCCGTGGAGATCCTATTGTTACAGTACTTGGCTACTGGAGGCTGAGCCCTGTTGATGAATATTACCCGGTGTTCTTGTCCTTCTAACGTGTCTCCGCTAGTTTCCGTTTCCCTGTCGATGGCCGACGCTGCGGCACCATCTTGTGCGTCTGTGTGATCAAAGAACGAATTATGTATTTTTCAATATTCATGTATGATCAAACAAAAGACGAGACACCAGACTATTTATATGTAGGTGATTCATAAAATTCCAGTTGGAGATATTTAGAACTGATTTGCCAGGACCTTCATCACTTGCCAACCAACAGTCGCACTTGATAAATAAATTAGTACCTGAATAGAGTAATCATTTACATGGTGGAAATCTGTTTCTATTTGGTACTTCCACGTTCCTTTTGAAAATTCAGATTTGTTCTCAAAACTTATGGTTTTTTAATCAATATACTAAAAACAAAGTGTTACCGAAATAGTGCATACAAAACATTTTAAACAAACTATATGTAGTACTTTTGCATATCATTATAATTCAATAAACAAAGATGAATAAACTCTTAAGACCTGAACGAATCGACGCTGATAAAAACTACTCAAAAGCTGCTTAAGAGTAGACTCACTGGAAAGCAACTTTCAACAATTTCATATCATCCGTTGATAATGTAATGACCCAGGAAAATAGACCGGTAATTTACAATGTCTTTACTGTAAAAATTGAATCTAATCAAATAATCAAAAACTGAATTTCCGGTATTTCAAATCAGTATCGACGTATTGTAAATAAAACAAATTAACGTTGACTCAAAATTGATTAAAATAATTACATACGTTAAAATTTTATTATTTAGTCACCAAGCGTGATGTCATCTCCTAAATCAAATCAATGAACTTATTAAAAGCGAGGCCAAAGTAATTAAATAGGTGATTTATGGCCCGCACGTGTTTGTCGGTTTTCTTTTAGTTATCTTCACATTCTTATACGAAATTTGTTGACCCCGATAAACCAGGAAATTGCGACATAATTATTCGATTTTAAACAAACAAAAGAGGAAGGTTATTGAATGATGAACTTAGGAATTTTTGGGGGAACGAAACATATAAATACAGCGGTTTTAGAAGTGGAAGGGCAGTTGAGTTTAAGTTCAGTTTTCAGTTGTTAGTTCAGTCCAGTTTGAGTTAAAGTCTACAGTACCTAATGAGTCAGTCCGGATAAAAATTCGCGAAGAGTTTATTTTCTTGTTTTTGCCTCGGGAAAACGCGTTGAATCTTTGAGAATTAACGAAAGAAAAATGAAAGAAAGGCCATTCAAATTCGTTCAATATTATGTGCGAGCTCTAGAGATTTTTGAAGTGAATTAAATTAAGTAATTTTACGTGTGAAAAGTTAAATGTAAGTACTCTAGTGACTAATAAAACTTTTTGACTTTATAAACTAACGATGAATGATTATGAAGTGAATTAATTTTGGAACTTTTTTGCATAAATATTAATAACTCGAGTGTTTTGACTATGGAACATTATTGCATACATTTAATTGCCTTCGAGTATAATGACATTTTAATTAATTTTGCAAAGAATTTAAAAGGGGAAATTATAATGCTCTTAACAATATATGATTTTGAGTAGGAATTATTAATTAAATAATTGTGATTATTGGCTAGGAATCCGAAAATAGTAATTGTTCTGATTAAATAAACCATGAAATGAAATGGGAAGTTTTGAAAAGAGACTTGTTGTTCATGAAGTTGTTGACGTTATGTGCTGAAATTTTGAATTAGTTTTTTTTTCATTTAGAAATTATTGTAAGGTTTTTATAAAAATATAATTGATAATACACACTTAATCAGTGAGTAGGATAATGACTTAAATAATTATTTGACTTAGGAGTTTTAAGAATTTATAGATATAGGTGAAGGGCAGTTTTAAAAGAAATGTGATTCGAAAGTGTTGTAATGTATAAATATAAGTTATTAAGAATAGAAGAAGTAGGGCGTTATTTTTTTGTATGGATACTTCCTGGTTCGTAGTAATGAAATTTGAACAGATGTGAAATAATTCGATTTGGGAAAAAATAGAAGTGGCCGTCAGAATAGGAAGATATTTGCTCATTTAAATTTTTGGCTTTAAGTATAATAAAATATAATTTAGTAAACCTCAATAGTTTGTTTCTCTCTTTTGCCAATAGACCCCCTCCACAATTTTATAGGTAGCCGCTCAAGGAGATAAACAGCATCAATATACCGCTAGCCATTTACCATCTAACTAATCAAATAGAATACTTGAGTGCGTTTTGCTACAGTAAGCTAGAAGATGATGGAAAACTGAAACATTTGGTATAAACTATGTAAGTCCCACCCTACTTTGTAAAAGATATTCGCATTATATCTGCGACTTGCCCAGTCTGTGCAGAATTCAAAACTAAATTTATTAAAAATCAAGTGACGCTTATAAAAGCAACTTCAGTTTTCAAGAGAATATCTCTAGACTTAAAACCCTCTTTCATCTGATTCAAGGAACAAATATGTATACTTATTATCATCAACGAGGATTCTTGCTTTCCATTCGCCTACCTATGTCAAAGCTATGACTTTTGAGACAGTGATTCAGCGTCTAAGAAACTTATTTTCATTTTTGGAATCCTCGGATATATTCACACAGATCAAGTCAAATGAGTTTAGAAATGATCTCTCAAAAGAGATAGGTAAAAGCAGATCAACACCTTATAATCCAGAAGGTAATGGTCACACAGAACACTTTAATGGCATAATTTGGAAGACACTCAACACTTGGAAGTGAAGTGCTTCTAGAAAATGCATTGCATTCGATTAGGTCTCTTTTATGCACAGCTACTAATTCTACTCCACATGAAAAAATGTTCAGTCATCCAAGAAAATCAATGAATGGTCTAGCAATACCTTCATGGCTAAGTTCTGGGAAAATTTATAGGAAAAAGCATGTCAGACACTTGAAGTACGATCCTCTCGTTGATCTCATTGATCCTAACCCTCTGCACTAATTTGACTTGATGAACGAGAAGCAACTGTTTCGCTAAAACATTTATCTCCATGTGGTGATGATAGTATGTCATTGGAAAATAATGCTGATAACTATGTTATGAATACGGCTACTCAGACAGAAGAAAGTAAAGATTTTTCACATTAAACAAGAAAATGATAGTGAGACAATAAATCAGCCTCAATCTATTCACTGTGAGCCAAAAATAGAGAAGAACTAAAAAATCTCTTAAATATTTTGAATATAAACCTGGGGAGAATACTCTTGATATCTTCTGTATATAAAATAGGTAGTTTTGTTTAATTATCATGTCTTTTTCATTGTCATAAGTTGTTCCTCATGTTTCAATGTCATGTATAATTCACATTACATAAATTACAATCGTTTTCAGTTTTCTTCTTTAGTCTATACAAGTCTCTAGAGAAATCATTGCACTACAAATTACTACTACACTTGAACCAGAGCTGGTTCAATAAACCTTGTCATTATGCATTATAAATATCACTAATAAAAAGTGTACTCCAATTAGCAACATGCGTTGAAACTAGCCTAAATCTAATTAAAGCAGATAACTGATCTAATTAAAATATGCTAAATATTACACTTGATATGTCACATATCTATAAACACCATATCACAAATCATTTGCATGAGGTCTAAACAACAAAGAATCACTACATCCAAAATTAAGGGGTGGATCCCAATCCCAATACTAAATTGCTACAAAACACTACTTACGTACGAATCTACCCAAAAACCTGTGTCTCAGTATTTCGAAAAACTCCCCCCGAAAAGCCATTTGGTCCAGCTGTTATTAAACGCCGCTGACATACTTTTCAAATGATTCGATAAAATTTCGGAAATACATTTTCTAGCAGATTGCACCGCTACAAGGTGTTGAATCAAAGGGGAAAAAATCGATTTTTGTTTGTCAGGGAGGGAAATTGCACGGCGCAGTTTTAGTAGGCTGAGAATATGAGGGAGAGTTGAGAAGTTCCTCTTTTAAGTTAAAGGCGCTTTTTAAAACTGGTTACTTTTAAAAATCCGTATTCTAAACCATCAAATTTTTAAGGGTACCAGTTTTTAAAAGCGCTTTTAAGTTAAAAGAGGATGTTGCATACAGCTGTTAGTGTTTACTCGAACCGTATACAGGGTGTCCGTTTTAAGTGATACCACTATTGCTAAAAAAAAGTTGCCTTTTTTGATGCCCATTCAAGAATCGTTTACAGTGTTGCCAAATTCCTTTTAGTTTAGGAAATACAGGGTGATTTCTGAGAAACGCCGAAAACTATTTCATCAATTATTTCGAAAACTATTGATTTTCGGGACACAATTTAAATTTGAAAGTTTTATAACTTTTATCGCTTTACAACATGGCATCTTCAAATGTCAAATTCGACGTTTCGTGATCGAGCTACCATCAACTTCATTTTTTCGAATACGGACCTGGATTTTTTTACGTCATTTTTAGAAAGCGCACTTTATTCTTCTTTCAACGATATACCTCTTAAGTATGATTGGCCGACGTTTCTGCTCGAAAAAGTGATCACCAGTGATTTTTACCAAAATTTTACCTTGATAAGGCCCTGGAATTAGGGTTGCCAACCCTCCCGATTTAGGCGGGAGACTCCCGATTTTTTTTCATGCCTCCCGCCATAAAACATCGCAGCAAAAACTCCCGCTTTCTAAAAAAACTCCCGCTAACTCCCGCTTTTCAACAATTTCGCATTTGAGTAAAGAAAAATAATAATTCAACGGGCATTTGCATCTTTTATTCAGGGTTTTTGGATGTTCTTGGGTTTGGATATTAAAAAGCTCCCTATTTAATAGGTCATCTCAAACTGACAAAATTGACAATAAGTATTTTTGGAAACACGTATCAGAGTTAAATAGATTGTCTGGGGTAAGTTAACTTGATGATGTCATCTAGGGTGCCTTATGGGGATTTACATTATGTTGAAGACGTATAGGCCATTGGAAGAAGCACCCCAGAATAAAAGTTAACAGGCAACCTAACCTTGCCATCTACCATCGTCCATCGTTTACGCATGCACTTCAAAGCCATTTCATTTAAACCTACTCTTCTTGTAATTTTTCCGGAAAAATTGGAAAAAACAAGTTAACAAGTAATTTGTTTAACA